CGATGGAGTGCCGAAGGAGATTAGATTTTACGGAGAAACAGCTGTCATCATGATGGACTGGGATGATCCAAGAGAGATCAAATTCTTGCCCGGCTGCAGAAGAGTTAGATTCGATAATAAGGATTCCGTAGTATTATCTTTCAATGAAGGCTACAAACAAGTGGAGATCGACGGTCAAGTGTTTAACATTCGGTTTGGGGCGCCGACGAGGGAGCTTTATATAAATGGCAGATGGTACGAATGCATTTTTGGTGGTCAGCCTATCGGCACGATCATCGATGGGAGACCTAGATTAGTGCAATTAGAAGGGCCGCCTCCCAAGTTGATATCGGAAAGACTAAACGCACAGATCTAGTTGCTGGCAAAATCAATGTCATCGTGAACGCCACACAGAGGTGTCCCGTCTACCTCGATGCTAAAGTACAAAATTCTTCATCAATAGACACGTGCTCACGATACGCTTCGTGGATTCGTTGAGAACTGTTCTAATAAACGAGCAACCGTTTAAACTGGAGTTTGACGGTTTACCTAAACCGATATCGATAGGCAATGAAAAGTTTTTCATTAGATTTTCGGCACTCCCTAGTCACATAAAGGCTGGTCACATAGAAATAGCAAATATGGAAGGCACGAGAATGGAACCGGTCATGCAGCCGACACTCGGCTTTAACAGTGACAGTAATACACAAGGTAGGTTTTTTTTTTTAATTATTTTAGAATTGTCATTACTGTAGATTGCTTTTTGAAATGATGTGTATTCAACATGGATGATGAATCATTGAAATGATGATGAAATGCATTGTTTATTAATTTAATAAAAGTAAGTACATTTTCAGGTGTAGCCATGTTAGCGAGTGCCACGCCTTCAACAATGGCACCCGCGTCTGCTTCAGAGTACAGTTCAGCTGAGCCGATGTTTCCAATCCTGGCCAACATAAATGTGAATGATTTGTTTGCTAAACTGGTTGCCAGTGGCATAGTGCAGGTCAACAACGAATTAAAAACTGAACCCAAGGAAGAGGTGAAAGAAGAGGCCAAACCGAAGGCAAAAGAGGATAAGAATGTCATCCATAAAGTTGATTTGCTGAGAAGTGAAACTTTGAAAGTGTAAGTAACATTTTATATAATCAACTTTCTCGTTTTCCATAATGTAAAGTATCCTAGATTTAGGGCCTGGCAATTGGTGTTATCAGTTAATTTAAAAATTTTCGCGTTGTTTACATATATTTTAAATATGCAATCGGGATTTAACGCGATAAAAAACCTTTGCAGGTAAATAGTACATCTGCTTTTTTATTACAGATATTGTATTACGTGTATTGCACCACGACTGCTTTAAGTCCCGATTATGTATTTAAAATTGGTGTGTTTATATAGCATTTAATATTAGTTTGTACTTTATATCTCTATCTTACTGTCGTTAATAATCGTTAGCTGAATTAAAATCAGAAAATTTTACAAATTTTCTATAAAATATTAAACCCATTAGTTCTTTTGTCCGTAAATAGGGAAAGTAGATAAAATTTTGAAAAATCTTTTCAGGGTACAATAATATAATAGGGTAATAGGACTTATAAAACTGTTCTTTTGCAGTTTTGCCGGCGTATATTAAATTTTAAAATATAAAATTTTATTTAACTATATACAGTGAACTCTCTATATTAGCGACTCATTTGAACTACTTTCAATAAAAAAATCTTATTGAGAAAATTTGCTTATAGGGGAAAAAAGAGTATAAAAAATACTTACCGTCTGGAAAATATTTTTCCTTACTTATTTTACTAACTAAGCTGAGTAGAATAAATAAAATTTAAAGAAATTGCTTATTGAGAGGTTGCTTATACCATATAGAGCGTTCACTGCACTAAATTTGAATGAAATCCATCGAGTCATTTAAGTGTGATCGCACGCATCTACGGTTAGCGTGGTCGCAATCTGTTGTGTTCATAATATGATGAGGTTAATGTGTTAATGTGCGTGGGCACGTGCAGGAAGCAGGAGGCGCTGGTGGCACGGCTGTACGGCGGCATGCAGTGCTCGGGCTGCGACGTGCGCTTCCCGCCCGAGCACACGGTGCGCTACTCGCAGCACCTCGACTGGCACTTTCGCCAGAACCGCCGCGACCGCGACTCGGTCCGCCGCGCGCATTCGCGCCCCTGGTACTACGACCACTCCGACTGGCTGCACTATGAGGAGATCGAGGACCTCGAGAACAGAGGTGAGAGGACGCCTCCGGTCTCTCTTCACGCATGGCTTTACTCTTCGTCTTCCACGCTACTGTACCCTTTGCTACTTGTTTACACTTTATATAAGTTTGTTGGCAAATGTCATGCAACCAATTTTTAGACTATTACTTATAATATGCTCATAGTCTATTACTTACTTGATTTTTTTTATATCACCGAGGTGGTAAACGAGCACTTTCCAGTTCGATCTGGAGCAATTACTATGGATGCTTGGTAACAGCAGGGGTATAGCAAACGCTTTGTCCGTCCTGAATTAAGCCTGTCTTTATGGAAAATATTTGCAGGGATTTTGTACCACAGAATATATTAGTACATCTCAGAATATACTGACGTTCATGGTATATGCATTGCCACATCTATAGTAATATTGTTTTATAATTTAGAAAAAAACTGGTTCGAGACTGTTGGGGCGGCGGGCAAGGGTATGGCGGAGGCGGCGGCCGAGGCGCCCAGCGTGGCGGCCGGCGCGCTGATTAACCAGCACTGCGCCGTCTGCGGCGACCGCTTCCAGCAGTTCTACAACGAGGACAAGGAGGAATGGCATCTGAGGAACTCGCTGCGCCACGACGACGACTTTTACCACCCGCAGTGCTTCGACGACTACAAGGTTGGCCTCTCAAACCAATACCTGATCTGATCATGTCTAATAGTACCTAATATAAATAAAAAATCAATTAAATAATATTTTTTATGTCGAATGTTTCTATTATTTGCGATTTTAAAATAGCATAACTATGAGTTTATTTAAATTGGGATAACAATTCAATTCAATTCAATTCAATTCAATTTATTTATTCGCTACAATACTACATTTTATTGAATATTTTTTATAAGTAACAAGAAGGTGTCATAAAATATAACAAAACAAAAAAAAATATAAAGCAACAAAATAACCAATAATAATTGTAAAATATAACATTACAATTAATTTACAAATATCATTAATAACGCATAAAATATTAAAAGAGTATTTTAAAATTCATCAATTGAGTAGATGCATCTTTCCAACAAAAGAGTATAAAGTTTCATTTTCAAAATTCTCCAATCTTTAAAAGTTTTTAATGCATTGGATAATTTATTATGCAATTTAACCGCTTAAAATTTTGCGCTATGTTTTACGCCATGTATTGGATATCATATGCAACATCTTTTCGTCTAGAAATCATGCGTATATTTCTCTCTTCTCTAGTTTCTTTTGGCAGACGATAGACATCAATCAGGATACTTAAAAAGTATTTATCTACTAAACAATCGTACGCATACTTGTTATTTGTCATTATCTTTGGCCATTATTAATGAGGATGTCTTTACATATATATGATTTTGTGTACAGGCATCGTTAACCAAAGAGGAGCCACTCCGAGAGTCGTCCATCGAGATCGAGGACGTGGACGACGTAATGTCGCAGTCGGACAACGAGTCTGTTGTGGAGGTCGTTAAAACTGACGACAGGAACACTCAGCCCGTAGAGGTGAGTTTATAATTAACATAAATATGATTCCATAGATATAACAGAGTAGGTGAAAGTGGTTACCCTTCGTACACATTTTAGATTTTATTATTTTACTTTATGATTAATTGTCAAATTCATCTAGTTTATGTACCTAAGTGTAACAAATATATTGCAGATTGTTATAAAAAAGTTACCATAACATAACAATTATCTTTGGTTTTCCCTGGTGTCTCATCACTTTCTATTTTCTTCGCTTTCTTTTTCTTTTGTTTTAAATTAATTTCCTTCAAACTACGTTTTACTACTTTGGCTCTGGTTTTCCTTTCCGGTTCTATTTTTTCTTTCAATTCTTTCTGTCTATGTCTCTCTTGCAGTTCAGTTTTTTCAGGTGTATCTGTATACATACGAGATTACTCTTCTTCCAAGGAGAAGAATATAAGACTCGTAAATTTTGAATGAAAAGTTCGTGAGGGTTCATAGGCGTTAGAGTCTCTTGATTTTATTTTCTTGACTCTGCTTTTCAACATCAGCAACGATCTAACGCCTGAAAAAAAGGGGTATGTCTCCATACCCTGTAACTTTAGCAAGGGTAGATCCCTAATATTGCGTACGGCAAAAAATTCACCTTGTACATTTATTGTGTTCAGATCGTGGAGGATAATGATGAGACGGTGGCTATGCCCCAGCCGATGGAGGACGACGGCGACGAGGATGACGTAGTGTTCGAGGCCCAGTCGGTGGAGGACGACGCCGACACCGACGACGAGACGGTCGAGCAGCGCCGTCAGCGGGACGTACTCGCCGCCATCGACATGGCCAACGTACGCGTCAAGATTGAACCTATCGACCCTGGTCAGTTGCTATTGCTTTACTATACAGCTCTCACACTTATTGTAACGTAGCTACGTCACCTTGCTATTGTTGCGGTTTCGATTCGCGTGCAATACAAACACTTATTCTGAATTGATGTTGAATCATGAAAAGAAAGAAAACTATTGGTCATAATAAATGAACTAAAACATACTTCAGTCCATGTAGCATACTACATATGATGTTATTTAAACTAAATAGCTAATGTGACAAGAAGTTAATTTTTACACACGCAAACCTGTCTTGTTTCATCCAGTTTCATAAATTATCATTGCAAGAGATTTCCATCAACATTACCCAAGTGATGATATATAGTCCTCTAATTTTAAACCTCTTCCACAGACGATGAGCCAATAATAACAGCAGAGGAGACCATCCCCACCGCAGTCGATACCACACACGTAACAGTGCTGTCCTCTATCGACGGGAACGTGCAACTCGAGGCGATTCCCGCGCCAGTCACCTCGCGCAGCATACGTATAAATATATCTAAGTCGATACCCTCTTTTGTGAGTAATGTACAGGAAAATAAAATGCTCGAAGAGATAAACATGGATGATGAGCCTCTGCCTCCTGGCGAAGAACCACAGTTGTCGTACAAGCTGAAACCGACGCTGGAAAATGTACAATTCAGTAGGCAACCACCCGCGAATAAAGGCAATGAACTGTCCGGACTCTGTTCTATTATGTGAATATGTTGTGATAAACAAGTTTTATTAGCAGTGTGAAATGAACGATTCCCTGGTTATGAAGTGTTCGTGAAACTTTTTCGTTCGTGATTTTGATAATTTTTCTGCATTTGAATAGAGTTCACTCCTGTGTTGGTCCTATATAATTATTAGTGATTTGCTCAACGACTAAAGTAGCCATGTTTCAGAATAAAATGAAAGTTGTAAAATTAAAAACATCAATTTGTTTATAAAAAATCTCCATTGGCGTTATTTTTAATAGAAAAATTATACTCGTATTGAAACGGTCAATTGTGTAAGCAGCTCTATAGATGAGGTGTGATGGTCTTTAGGCAAGTTATTGACTAAATTGCATAATAAATATATAGGATATACTAAGATTCAATCGTTTGCATCGCATGGTCGTCTCACATATAATTCGCCCTACGATCAGTCCGAGGTGATTAGATGAACTAGGTTTCAACATTTAACAAGTTGCTAACTGCAACTTTGTAACAGCAAACTTTGCACAATGATTTCGAAAATATATATATAATTAGTAACAGTCATACTACTTGAACTGGATCTTATAGAGCACAAGTCTTGCAAATAAAAATTTTACAAAAATGTACTTATCATCCTCTAAATTTAACTTACTATTCAATTATTACTTGCTTTCCTTTAGAGGTTCCTTCTATTTCTTTGTACTTCACATCGACTTGTTTAGTTTAAGAATAAGTATCTCAAATTTGTGTTTAGTTCTATGTTGTGTAAATAAATGTTTATATTGTAAAATGAATTTGTTTTTTTTCATTCAAAACTACTAAAATCCTACATAAACAGTAATCCCCCTATAACACGGTAGATTCGTTCAGGAGTATTCTCGTATAAGGTGCTTGTACAAGTTCGTATAACGCGCTTGTATGATCTCATATAATGCGTTTATACGACCTCGTATAATGAGTTTGTACGACCCCATATAACGCGCTTGTACGATCCCATATAACGCGTTATGTACAAATGATTCACGTTTAACTTTTCTCTTTAAAAGAGATTAAAATTGAATATTAATAAAAATAAACTATTATTAACGAAATATTTATTTATTTATTCATTAGTACAAATATGTGTACATGGCGGACTTAATGCTAAAAGCATCCTCTCCCAGTCAACCATAGGGATGTGTCAGAATACTCGAATGCGGTACTACTAATTATTGATATACATACATACTAAAATTACATATATAAACGAATAAATATATATGAATATCAAATATACTTACACATATATGATATATACTATATTATACACGAATTTGGGAATAATATAAAGCACTTACTGCTCGGTATATATCGGTAAATATGTATGTTTAATTAAAATCAAACTAAGAACATTTTAAATAAAAAAGTTTTGCATATGTAACTAAAAACGGTTAATTTGAAATAAATTTATTTATTTATTTTTATTTATTGATTCTTTATTACACAATAAAACTTTTTACAAGTGGCGAACTTAATGTCATATGGTATTCTCTACCAGCTAACCATTAGATAAAAACAGAAAGCGTATAAAGGGCAGATGTGGTGAAAAATATGTGACACAATTATAGCAGCATACTGAAATAATTATACATAATAATACATAAGAAATACACATATAACACATAAATACTACTTATATGATTATATATTGATTGATATGTTGAAAGCCGATAAATATTTTTTCGAATTTAAACAATTATTACAAGGATTTAACTTAAAGTTAGCAATCAACGATCCAACGCGTCTATGTAGTGGTACATGTAATGATAATTTTGAACATAATATTAAAGATTGTAAAACTCGAATACTTGAATTGGCTCTCTCAGACCACACAGCGCAATTATTGATGTGTCCGGTCTCAGAGAAGTTTGGTAACCCATACTGGTATATAATGAAGCGTGATTATAGTAAAGAAAATATAGAAAAATTTAAGCACTGTCTAATGGCCATCTATTTCAAGGACGTATATAATACCGCCTTTTGTACTACATTATACGTATTGAAAATTGTTCAACAAATCCTATTATGTTGGTGCAATAAAGTGTTAAATAAATAAAAATAAAATAATAAATAATACTAACAATCCAAATACTGCATTTAATAGTTTTTTTGATGAACTAAGTTATTTTATGACATGTGTTTCCCATTGATGAGAATCAGAATGCGTTCTTATCAACGACCTAAATGGATTACCAGAGGTATTATAAAATGCTCTAGACAGAAAAGAAAACTGCTTTGGAAATACAGAAAAGATCCAAATCCTCTCAATAAAAAGTGCTTCAAAACATATTCAAGTAAACTAAAAAATATAATGAAATTAACAAAAAAAGCACAAAACAATTACTTTATTAAGACGTCTAAAAACAAAACAAAGGCCACCTGGACAATAATTAATGAATTTAAAAATAAAACTAAAAATTATATAACACAAATTAACAACGATCACAAAAAATAACTGATCCTAATAGAATAGCTGAATTATTTAATAATTTTTTTATTGAGCAAGTTAAATCGCATGATAATTTCAAGGCAAGAAATATGACATCGAATAATGTAAGTTCCTTATTCATAAGACCTACAAATCCAGATGAAATTTTGACAATAATAAGATCTTTAAAAGACACTAATAGCATTGGTTACGATGATATTTCAACAAAAATTGTAAAAGAAGTAGCTACTCAGATAGCACCAATTTTGAGCTATATTATAAACCTATGTATTGAAAATGGAACTTTTCCCGATAAATTAAAAATAAGTATTATAAAACCTCTATATAAAAAAGCAGATCGCAAATGTATGTCATCGTATAGGCCAGTAGCACTTATACCTATATTTTCTAAAGTAATTGAAAAGGTAATTTATAAAGATCTTTATAATTTTCTTGAAAAATATAATTTATTGGTAGAGGAACAAACTGGATTTAGAAAGAATAAAAATATAAATTAGGCTATATATAAATGTTTGAAAAAAATTATAGACCACGTTGATAATAGGAAACCCGTCTGTGCTTCATATATGGACCTCTCAAAAGCATTTGACCATGTAGATCATGCGACCTTAATTGAGAAATTACACACATATGGTATCAGAGGGATTTCATTAGATTTCATTAAGTCATACCTAAGTGGTAGAACGCAAGCAACGCAAATCGACAGAATATGTCCAAAATCAAAAGTTGAAATCAATTTTATATCAGACTTCAAAGAAGTAAAATATGGCGTACCGCAAGGGAGTATTTTGGGTCCATTATTGTTTCAGATATATATAAATGATATCCCAAATATAACTACTAACCCTATGATATTATTTGCAGATGATAGTACCGTAATATGTAGTGATGACAAATCGAATGAACTTGAAATAAATATTAACAATACAATAAAAATATTAAAAGACCGGCTAAAGGAAAATAATTTAAGGATAAACTTAGATAAAACACACTTTATGAATTTTAGTAATCGACAAAATAATTTGACATCTTTTAATATTGATTTTAATGGAAAAAAAAGTGAAAATTACAAAATTTTTGGGATTAACGATTGATAATAACCTGATATGGAAACATCATATAGAAAATATTAATAGCAAAATAAACCAATTTCCATACGCATTACGCATGTTGTCTAAGATTGTTAATCAGACGAATTATGTTGAATTCTTACTAAAGTATGGTGTCATATTTTGGGGCAATTCGACCGTAATATCCCGTAATACCGATAAAATTCGCATTCAGCCTCACGTCACAGCATTATTTGATAAAAGTTTTTTCGGTATGGTCTCTAAAATATATAATAAATTCCCGAAAGCATTTAAGGAAATAGACAGTTTAAATGTATTTAAGAAAGAAGCAAAAGAATGTTTGACAGCCAAATGTTACTATACGTTGCATGACTATTACATTGATAAATATTAGACATACAATTTAATTATTTTTATGGACATTTTTAACATTTTATTATTATTTACTTCATTCTCGGCTAATTTGCCGGTTTTCTCAGACAACCCGTCCCAAAAACCTTTGGAAAAAAGAAAGCTGAGATCCCAACCCCTTTTATTACGTGTGTGTATGCAAATATGCATATATATTATTCATATGCTTCATGATATTGTTTTTATTGTTATAAGTTATTATTACTTTAAATGGACATGTAATTATTATTTTCATCTAATATATGTACCCATATTAGTGCAATAAATGATTTGAATTTGAAAAAAATTTAATTTGAATTATATTAATAATAAATAGTTATATTTATATATATGAATACACACATACATAAAAACTATAATAAACATTATTAAATATAGTAACTATAGTAGTAGTATGTAGCACCACATCCACCTTGTTGGCTGCTACATGTGCCTTCAATGCAGGGATGCCCTTCGGTGGGCCTGTATCTTCACCTTGTGGACCTTGGTTTGCCATTTTCTAATCATAATATAAAAGATATTTACATTATTTTCATATTTTAATAATATTATAGTCAATTGCCAAGTGCCTTTAAATAATTAAAAATGTTTAACAAAACCTTATTGAACAATGGCCCATTAAAGTTAATGGAAGAAATTACTAGAAGTAACTATTATAACAAAAACTGCTATCAATAAATCCATAAATTTATTTGTTACAGATACAATATATGAAACATTGCATAAGGATTTCTTATATAAAATAAGAGATTTTTTTTTTAATATTATTGCACAAAATCGAATTTCAGTTACAAAATTGGTATAGCATCATAAATGTTTTTATTTAACATACATACATACATACATATCTGTCACGCATGTCTCCCATTAAGGTAGGCAGAAACAGTGAAACTTTATTTTTTTTTTATTTAATATTGTGTGTTATTTAATATTATAAATACAGATTGGGGTTGTTAAAATAAAAGCTTTTTTTTATACGACTTAGAATGGCAAACAATCTGACGGCTCACCTGATGGAAAGTGGTAACCGTCGCCTATAGACATGAGCAGTACCATGGACATAACAGTACACACACATACTGTTTCGCCTGTGATACCCCCCATGCATTGCCATTCCTGAGGACTCAGGTGTTATTCCTCTGTACCCTGTAAATTCACGCCATATCCCACTCGTGAAACCGAAACACAGTCATGCAAACACAACTGCTTTACGGTTGAAACACAAATTGGATAGAGGTACCCAAGCAACCGACTTTTGTACAAAGTCTCTCTCTGGTACCGCACAGTTCAAATATAATATATAATTTAAAGAAATTTCTTTCACAAAGCGACACAACGGATATTCATCATTCGCAGTATATTTTGGCTCAAAAACATATTTGACAGTATCTGGACAGTTGCATTTAGAAGCTATCTGTAGGGGAATGGGCAATGTTTATTGATAATTTTATTTATGTTTGATATAATGAAGCATGAGCACTTGCGGCAAGCAATAAAAAACACGTATTGAAATACACTTATACTTTTATTATATTTATCTATTACAATTTCCTCAGCCATATATATTACTTGTTACAAAAACCCCAGAGAGCATCATGCAGCGCCCTCTCGCTTACTCTACCGTAACTTCTCTTCCGTTGTCTATGTGTAATGTTGCAATTGTTAAAATAATAATTGTGGAGGCTGGAGATACCAAACAATTAAACTCAACAATGTTTACACTCTAGGACCCACATTCAGAGCTGAGAATGCAAGATCGAGACTACATTTATCAGAGTTTTACATGCTAGAAGCTGAGTTGGCTTTTTGTTACAGCTTACAGCAATTACAAAATCACATAGAAGAATTATTAAAGTATATCTTCATTGAAACGAGACATACAAATGAAGTTGATTTATCTCTGATTGATAAGGAGAACAGTAAACCACCAGCATGGTTGTAAAAAAAGTTTGCCACTCTCACATATGATGAAGCTCAAGATATTTTAAAGAAAAAAAAAGGATATTTTAAAGAAAAAATACAGAAAATGGAATAAATAAAGAACAAGAATTGGCGCTCATATATTACTGCAATGGTGCACCTGTTTTTATTGTAAGATGGTCTAAAGATCTTAAAAGTTTTTATATGAAGGAATGCCAGAATGATAATACCAAGGTAAAAATGTAGTGTGATGATGATGCAACTATCTCTTTATTTATCCCTTCTATAGCCCAAGAAAAATGCCTGATTACTCTATTCTTTCTTTTTTCGACTGCCTGAATAAAATGCAACGATAGAGCTGTAATGTATTCTATGACTTACTCTTTATCATGTTCATTTCTACAATAAAATTATTTTTCCAGGTCGAGGCATTAGATTTACTCGCACCAATAACAGGCGAAATAGTTGGAGGCAGTCTCAGAGAGGATGATTATGACAGATTGAAATCAAAACTACCATCAGACAAACTAAATTGGTATTTAGAGCTTAGGAAGTTTGGTAACATCCCCACTGGTGGTTAAGGACTTGGTTTGGAGAGGCTATTACAGACTATGTGTGGTATCACTAACATTAAAGATACACTACCTTTTCCAAGATGGCCCCATAATTGTAGTATGTAGTACTCTGTGTAAATAATAAGGAAACCCTGTTTTCTTTATAAACAAAATGTAGATTTTAATATTGCTGATATTCTATGAATATCGCATGTGATAATTTATCAATGTATAAATACTGTTGTATAAAATAAATATTTTATTCTAATTCAAACATCATCCGTCAAATGGATGGATGTAGATATGTGCATTGTATTGTGAAAACATCAATTGTTACAAATTGTCTTAAAATATCTCAAATAGTCCATTTAGAATAGTTATAAGAAATCCAGATCAATTAAAAAAAAAAATTTATTGACTCTACCAAATTGAACCCAGGAACTTGTACAAACTAATGTAAGCTGTCACCATATAATATAATGCCTATCACTGAACCATGAAAGAGGAATACAAAATCTTTTTTTGCATTTAAAAATAAATACTAGATAACATTTAGTAATTAAATTTACTTATATATATGGTACAGGACAGACCAAAAATTATTTTTATTTTCACAGTGAATTGCTTATATAGAAAATTATTTGTAATCAAACTTAGATTAAGTGAAATTTATTTATTAATAAATTCTTGAAAATAAATCTTTCTTTCATTTTCCATAATATTAAGCTGTAATTACAGTAATCTCCCCTATAACACGGTACTCTTATAACGCGTTTTCATATTACGCGATTTCAATCCCCCGTATTATACGGATATTCCCCCATATAACGCGACGATTGAACATTCTATTAAAAAAAGATGTTGGTGGAACGTTATTTCAATTTTTTTATGCAAATTAGAATAGCAAACGAACTGACGGCCTACCTGATGGAAAATGTTAACCGTCGCCTATAGACATGAGGAGTACTATGGGCATAACAGAGTATACTGTTTCGCCCATGATCCCCTCTATGTATTGCCATTCCTGAGAGCTCAGATGTTATTCCTCTGTACCCTGTAAATTCACTGCCATATCTCGCCCTTCAAACCAACACAGTCATACAAACACAACTACTTCACGCTAGAAACACGAACTTTTGTACAGTCTCCCTCTGGTAGATAGCTCCGACAGCGAATAAACATGTAATAAAACTGTAAATTTATTTGAAATTGTTTAGTTACATATGCATATTTTGTTTTTATTTAAAATGTTCTTCGATTACAAAATCACATAGAAGAATTATTAAAGTATATCTTCATGGAAATGAGACATACAAATGATACACCAGCATGGTGGTTTACTGTTCTCCTTATAAAACACACATATTTCGTTCATAACAGTTTTTTTTATTAATATTCGATTTAAATCCTACAAGGGTCGTACAAGCTCATTATACGAGGTCGTATAAACGCATTATATGAGATCATACAAGCGCGTTATACGAACTTGTACAAGCACCTTATACAAGAATACTCCTGAACGAATCTACCGTGTTATAGGGGGACTACTGTTTATGTAGGGTTTTAGTAGTTTTGAATGAAAAAACCAAATTCATTTTTCAATATAAACATTTATTTACACAAACTTAGAACTAAACACAAATTTGAGATGCTTATTCTTAAACTAAACAAGGTGATGTGAAGTACAAAGAAATAGAAGGAACCTCTAAAGGAAAGCAAGTAATAATTGAATAGTAAGTTAAATTTAGAGGATGATAAGTACATTTTTGTAAAATTTTTATTTGCAAGACTTGTGCTCTATAAGATCCAGTTCAAGTAGTATGACTGTTACTAATTATATATATATATATATATATATATATATATATATATATATATATATATATATATATATATATATATATATATATATATATATTCGAAATCATTGTACAAAGTTTGCTGTTACAAAGTTACAGTTAGCAACTTGTTAAATGTTGAAACCTAGTTCATCTAATCACCTCGGACTGATCGTAAGGCGAATTATATGTGAGACGACCATGCGATGCAAACGATTGAATTCTATTATTAATTAATTGAATCTCATTACATCCTCAAAGAAGTAGTATATTTGTCACTAATAATAACGAAGCACGAACTCGTGATCTCACATCATATATAATCAATCGACATCGACAAAAAGTTCAACTTATGATGAATCATTATTTTTATATACCTTTTTTTTATTTTATCTAAAGCATACTACACTATACAATAAAGGTATTGTAAAATACATTAAAATTGCAGTGTCCATATAAAAACCAACAATAATAAATGAAATAAAAGATCAGAGTTGATATCATGTTTTTATTTCAGAGTTCAGTGAACACAAAGAATAACGAGATTCTTTAACAATAAACCCTATATAATAGTCACCTATTATATAAAATAGCTTATTTATATTACACCTTATATACACACAAACAAAATATTTACAACATGTTCAATATATATTACATACACAAAATTGTAATTTATATTATTTGAGAAAGCTAAAATACGCAATATCGATGTATACACGTAAAGGGCTTAACTTAGTATCACATTTCGTTTAACTAAATTGGTAGTACTCGTACTCTATCAGTTTCCAGTGAAACTATAATTCGTATAAATGTTTATTTATTTTATTTATTTATTGGAAAACCAATAACTTCCAATTTGTAGCTTAAAATAATTCCATTAAAAAACATAATAACAGGTTTTCACTGACTGAGCGATATAACTTTGACGTGGTTGGAGTATTTATAAAATTTAGAATAAAATAAAAAAAAAAACTACACTAGAGTACTTCATAACAATAGTTACTAGATTTCAAACAATATGGTATGGAAGATTCAACTGTAGTTAACAGTTCGGTTTACAATCACACTATATATATAAATACACCTAGTACGTATATTTGTTCTTCAATTATGTTCGGTATAATATATTAAATTATGCATTTTTATTATACGTTTTTTAGTTATCATGTTATTGATATTAATTATCAAGATCACTTTGTAACAACATCGTTATAGGATTTAATAATTCTAAATAAACATAAATACTTGTGAGAAAAGAAAACACTCAATTTTACCATAGGCGCGCAGTTTATAAATAATAATTTTGTGAGAGACCTTATCGAAAGCTTTGCAAAAGTCTGTGTATATAACATCAATCTGCTCTCCAGCATCAATTGCTCCTATTAGGAGTTCAGTGAACGATGCCAAGTATTTATTAATTATAAGGCAAGATGATTCTGCAGATGAGTGCAAATAATTGATAAATAGAATGGAAATTGGCCAATCATCAATTCAGCGACATAGAATTAATCAACAAACGTATGATTACCCTCATTGGCTGACAAGTATAATTGTAAATGAATTTGGGATTTATTATGCAATTTAATCAGTAACTTGCCTCTCTAGTCTCTACTAGCACACTTAGTCTATAGAGCTGCTTACACAATTGACCGTTTCAATACGAGTATAATTTTTCTATTAAAAATGACGCCAATGGAGATTTTTTTGTAAACAAATTGACGTTTTTAATTTTAAAACTTTGATTTTATTATGAAAAATGGCTACTTTAGTCGTTGAGCAAATCATTAATAATTATATAGGGCCAACACAGGAGTGAACTCAAATGCAAAAGAATTATCAAAATCAGTTTAGAGTTGACGATTTATATCTGTCAAAGTCAGCGGCGAGATCTTAGGCTATATTTTCAATTTCATTTCTATAATGAACACAAATTTTAAAAATAATAAATACAATTATTTAAAAAATAATTGCTTATTTTTACCACAATAGTGGCAAACAAGCACATGGTCTATTTAATGGTAAACAGTTACCATAATCTGGCACCAGGTTTTCTTTCCGTACGCCACATAATTTTGTCTATATTTGATTGAATCAGATTGATGAGCACTGAAATCCAACCATTAGGGTTTTTCACTCACATCAAATCTCATTACAAGTTTGACCTAAAGTTTCACAAACTCTTCATAACCAGGGAATCATTCATTTCACACTGCTAATAAAACTTGTTTATCACAACATATTCACATAATAGAACAGAGTCCAGACAGTTCATTGCCTTTATTCACAGGTGGTTGCCTACTGAATTGTACACCTTCCAGCGTCGGTTTCAGCTTGTACTCCAACTCTGGTTCTTCGCCAGGAGGCAGAGGCTCATCATCCATGTTTATCTCTTCGAGCATTTTATTTTAAAATAAAAAAAAAAACCTGTACATTATTACATTCCAATCATCAATTCAGCGACATAGAATTAATCAACAAACGTATGATTACCCTCATTGGCTGACAAGTATAATTGTAAATGAATTTGGGATTTATTATGCAATTTAATCAGTAACTTGCCTCTGTTTATCTGGGTTCAATACGAGTATAATTTTTCTATTAAAAATGACGCCAATGGAGATTTTTTTGTAAACAAATTGACGTTTTTAATTTTACAACTTTGATTTTATTATGAAAAATGGCTTCGAGCATTTTATTTTCCTGTACATTATTCACAAAGGAGGGTATCGACTTAGATATATTTATACGTATGCTGCCTAGCGAGGTGACTGGCGCGGGAGTCGCCTCGAGTTGCACGTTCCCGTCGATAGAGGACAGCACTGTTACGTGTGTGGTATCGACTGCGGTGGGGATGGTCTCCTCTGCTGTTATTATTGGCTCATCGTCTGTGGAAGAGGTTTAAAATTAGAGGACTATATATCATCACTTGGGTAATGTTGATGGAAATCTCTTGCAATGATAATTTATGAAACTGGATGAAACAAGACAGGTTTGCGTGTGTAAAAATTAACTTCTTGTCACATTAGCTATTTAGTTTAAATAACATCATATGTAGTATGCTACATGGACTGAAGTATGTTTAAAATAGTTTTCTTTCTTTTCATGAATCAACATCAATTCAGAATAACTGTTTGTATTGCACGGGAATCGAACCCGCAACAATAGCAAGGTGACGTAGCTTCGTTACAATAAGTGTGAGAGCTGTATAGTAAAGCAATAGCAACTGACCAGGGTCGATAGGTTCAATCTTGACGCGTACGTTGGCCATGTCGATGGCGGCGAGTGCGTCCCGCTGGCGGCGCTGCTCGACCGTCTCGTCGTCGGTGTCGGCGTCGTCCTCCACGTCCACCTGCTCCACCGGCTCGGCCTTGAACACTACGTCGTCCTCGTCGCCGTCGTCCTCCACCGGCTGGGGCGCAGCCACCGTCTCATCATCATCCTCCACAATCTGAAAACAATAAATGTACATGGTGAATTTTTTTGCCGTACGCAATATTAAGGATCTACCCTTGCTAGAGTTACAGGATATGGAGACATACCACTTTTTTTTCAGGCGTTAGATCGTTGCTGAACATAAGTCTTCTGCATAAGTAGTTGCTATGCTTGGCAGGAGGGTTGGCATATTGCAGTTAGGTTTTTAGAGATGTTTTAAGAGAAACACTGCTAGCCATCTCCTTCTTTTAGTAATTTCTTACAACAATCACAGAAGAAAGAAGTGACCTATTCTATGCCGGGACCACACACGCGGTGAACGCCTTAGTCCTTATGAACAGCAAGCATAAGGTATCACAGTATACTCTATTATATCTATGGAATCATATTTATGTTATTGCGTGTTATGTGTAGCTAACCACTTTCCAGCGATCAGTAATTAGTAATTCGTCAGCTTGTTTGACATTTTAAGTTGCATATAAAAAAGTTCCATAGATAATATTAGAAAAGAAATTTCATAAATAAAAAATTTAAAACAGACAATCTTGAGACTTTCATGTTAACAAGAGGACCATGTCTCGAGAGGCTCAATTTTCGTTTTGTTGTTTTTCAACCATTAGTTTTAATAAGTAATCCAAGTTGAGCAATGACATACATATAATATATTGTATTTCAATTGAAATGAAAATAATAAAACATATATATTTTTTTGTTTAGATATAAACAGATGTTAGACACAGTTTTGTATGTGATTCGTTCGAGTTACAATTTTTTCTTGGCAAGTAGGCAGACATTTACAGGTCATAAACTCACCTCTACGGGCTCAGTGTTCCTGTCGTCAGGTTCGACGACCTCTACAACAGACTCGTTGTCCGACTGCGACATTACATCGTCCACGTCCTTGATCTCGATGGCCTCTTCTAGCTTATCAACTTCTGTCACATCTTCCATCGACTCTTGGAGCGGCTCCGCTTTGGTTAACGATGCCTGTGCACAAAAACATTATATGTAAAGACATCCTCATTAATAATGGCCAAAGATAATGACAAATAACAAGTATGCGTATGATTGTTTAGTAGATAAAATACTTTTCAAGTATGCTGATTGATGTTATCTCAATTTAAACAAATTCAGAGTTATACCATTTTTAAATCGCAAATTACAAGAAACACTTCTGAAAAAATTTATATTTAATTGATTTTTTATTTATATTAGGTACTTATTAGATTGCTGGAGCTGCTGCTGTAGGCTACCAGCGGGATTACAGGTGGCGGATAGTGAATGACCATCAGATATGGTGGTTAGCTGCGAATATGCAGAATAAGCAGTCCCCGACCAAGCAACGACAGCGTTACCAGGATGTGGTGAAAAGCACGGAAGCCTTTCTAAAAAGCCATAAGTCTGATGACGGCGTTGTGGCATGGCGAAAAATACCGCCATCTAATAGGTCTTTTCCTAGCGTTAGGCAGTGGCAACGCTAGTACTGGCAGAGGGCCGAAGAAATTATTTCGGGAAGGGCCTATAACCAGATATCAGCAGACAGGTAACCCTGACTGGTGTACCACGGTGTGGAAGGCAAATGGGGAAAACACCACACAAATTTCCCTAACAAATGGAGCACACATTAAAGAAAAAAATAATAGAGCAAAGCTCTTGACAACGGGCTTCCACGATGTAACATGCCGTGGCGGTCCGAGTCCCGCAGGGGCAGAAACAAGGCTGAACCGGTCGTCATTATGCGAAATCCTTGCCAGATAAGCACATGGAATGTAAGAACATTATTGACTCCAGGAAAATTAGATGAAGTAATCCAGAAAATGGATAGATTAAATAAAGATATTTTAGGACTAAGTGAGGTTAGATGGGAAGGTAGTGGAGATTATTGGAAGGAAAATTATAGAGTAATATATACAGGAGGAGAAAATCAAGGTATAAATGTAACAGCAATAATTCTAAACAAGAAATGAGGTAAGTTAGTTGAAAATACAATACATTATAGTGATAGAATAACATCAATTGAAATACAAGTAGATTCAACTAGTTTAGTAATTGTACAGGTATATATGCCTACTAGTAGATATCCGGATGAAGAGACCGAAGAAATATACAATCACATTGATGATATAATAGATACAGTAAATAACAAAGATAGCTTCATTGTCATGGGTGATTTTAATGCAACAGTTGGGGAAGAAGCAGTCTAAAATATTATTGAAAGATTTGGACTTGGGATAAAAAATTGTAGAGAGATTGATACAATTTTGTAAAGAAAACGATATGTTTATAGCGAATACTTATTTTGAACAACCTAAAAGAAAATTATATACTTGGAAGATGCCGGGAGCCATAGGAAGGTAACATATCATATTTTATAATTCTGAAAAATGCTTGCTGTAACCAAATAACCTCTTGCAAGACATTTCCAGGAGCAGACGTTAATACGGATCACAACCTTTTAACAAATACACACAACTTTCTAGTTAAAAAACCTAAAAGAAAAAATATATGTAAGCAAATTGATCTCAGTAAACTTAAATCAGAAAGCAATTATAAAGTGCAATATAGTAATAAACTTAGAAATAAGATAGAGATATATAAAGATACGATTAATGGGAACAATGAAAATATTGACTACAAGTGGAATACAATAAAAAATGATATAAAATCTAGTACGGAAAGAGTATACATAAAGAAAAATTGTGCCGAGAAAGAAATGGCAGAAATAATAAACCTTATGCTTGACAGAAGAAAACTAAGAAATAAAAATGAAGAATAAGAATACAAAAGAATTACTAACAAGACAACTCTTAAGTGCAGAGAAAGAAAGCAACACGATATAGAAAAAACATGTAACAATACTGATGACAATATGAAGAAAGGCAAAATGGGCAAAGCATATAATATGATTGGGGAATTAGATAGAAAACCTAAGACAAAAAGAAATCATAAATATGGACTTAAAATTAATAGCAAGAAAACTAAAATAATGACAATAGCTAAAACTAAACATCGACAAAATAATACTATAAAAATTAACAATACTCAATTAGAACAAGTAAATACATTACAATATTTAGGCAGTTTAATCACAAGTGATTCCAGATGTACTCCAGATGTAGTCACGAGAATAGCTATGGCCAAACAAGCCTTCAATAACAAAAAAAAAACACCTTTTACAGGCTAAGATAACAAAAGATATTAGAAAGTGGCTTATCAAAACCTATATCTGGAGTATAGCTTTGTATTAATGTGAGACATGGACATTAACTCAAAAGGAAATGGATAAACTTAGAGCCTTTGAAATGTGGTGCTGGAGAAGAATGGAGAAAATTAGCTGGAGGGATCGAATTAGCAAAGAGGAGGTCCTGCTTAGGGTCAAGGAAAAGAGACAAATTATTAGAACTATTGAGGACAGAAGGGGAAGAATGTTGGGACACTTGATACGACACGACGAACTTATGAATATTAGAATAGAAGTAAGATAGAAGGAAGGAGCGGAAGAGGGAGACCGAGACATAGTTACATCAGGCAGATCAAGGAAGGAGTTGGTGTCGTGTCGTATCAAGAGGTGAAGAGACTCGCTGAAAATCATAGTAAGTGGCAAGAACTCCACCGACAAGAGTGCAGCTCTTAAATAGGATAGATAGACTTATGAGACATGATCAAATTAGGTATTGGTTTGAGAGGCCAACCTTGTAGTCGTCGAAGCACTGCGGGTGGTAGTTGCGGTCGTCGTGGCGCACTGAGTTCCTCAGATGCCACTCCTCCTTGTCCTCGTTGTAGAACTGCTGGAAGCGGTCGCCACAGACGGCGCAGTGCTGGTCATGCGGCGCGCCAGCCGCCACGCTGGGCGCCTCGGCCGCCGCCTCCGCCGCGCCTTCGCCCGCCGCCTCGCCCTCCGCCCCACCAGTCTCGAACCAGCTCTTTTCTAAATTATAAAGCAATATTATTTTAGCTAGCTAGTAGAGGGAGACTTTGTACAAAAGCTGTCTGCATAATACATAGTGCGTTTCTATCACAAAGCTGCTGCGCTTTCATGGCTGTGTTTCAGTTTGTAGAATGAGATATCACAGTGGAATTACAAGATATGAAGTTAATATCTTAGTTCTCAGAGGTGGCAATGCATATGTAGTACCATGAACGTCAGTATATTCTAAGATGTACTAATATTTTCTGTGGTACAAAATCCCTGCAAATAATTTCCAAAAAGACAGATTTAATTCAGGACGGACAAAGCGTTTGCTATACCCCTGCTGTTACCAAGCATCCATAGTAATTGCTCCAGATCGAACCGGAAAGTGCTCGTTTACCACCTCGGTGATATAAAAAAAATCAAGTAAGTAATAGACTATGAGCATATTATAAGTAATAGTCTAAAAATTGGTTGCATGACATTTGCCAACAAACTTGTATAAAGTGTAAACAAGTAGCAAAGGGTACAGTAGCGTGGAAGACGAAGAGTAAAGCCATGCGTGAAGAGAGACCGGAGGCGTCCTCTCACCTCTGTCCTCGAGGTCCTCGATCTCCTCGTAGTGCAGCCAGTCGCAGAGGTCGTAGTGCCAGTGGCGCGAATGCGCGCGACGAGCCGAGTCGCGGTCGCGGCGGTTCTGGCGGAAGTGCCAGTCGAGATGCTGCGAGTAGCGCACCGTGTGTTCGGGCGGGAAGCGTGCGCCGCAGCCCGAGCACTGCATGCCGCCGTACAGCCGCGCCACCAGCGCCTCCTGCTTCCTGCACGTGCCCACGCATATTAACACATTAACCTCATCATATTATGAACACAACAGATTGCGACCACGCTAACCGTGGATATGCGATCACACTTAAATGAGTCGACGGATTTCATTCAAATTTAGTGCAGTCAACGCTCTATATAAGCAACCTCTCAATAAGCAACATTGTTTATATTTTATTTATTCTACTCAGCTTAGTTAGTAAAAGAAATAAGGAAAAATATTTTCCAGACGGTAAGTATTTTTATACTCTTTTTTCCCCTATAAGCAACTTTTCTCAATAAGATTTTTTTATTGAAAGTGGTTCAAATGAGTTGCTAATATAGAGAGTTCACTGTATATAGTTATACTTGTACATATATTTTATAAACTTATGTATGCAGGCAAAACCGCAAAAAACAGTTCGGTTTTTTAAGTCAGCCGTTGCGTACATTTCATTGAGTATGGATGTGCAAGAACGCCGTCTATAAATCGCTTAGTATAATAGCAACAAATATATTGAAATGCAATAATTGTAATTAGTGAACTATTATCTTTTGTCCAAAATAAATGTGATGTTATGGACGAGAAAAATCTCATTCGTATTGTTACGATTTCACTTTCGAGTGAAGAGATCAGGGAAGCGAAGACTTTGTTTTTTGACTCAGTCAATACGAAGATACCAAAGATTATGCGGAAAAAGGACGGTAAAGAGAAACGGGATATTGAAGATATTATATCGCTATTGAAAGGAATAGGTCCCGAAAAAGTTCAAGAAATTTGCAAAAACTACCCCCCGTAAGTTTCACGTAAATGTAACCAAATTATTAAAAGATATACTCGTGTTGCAAATAGAGATTGGAACTGTAAAGGAAACCTGCGCTACAACAGAAGAATTACAAGTGATAAAGAATGAGTTGACAAATTTAAAATCAGACTCAATTGTGAATAACTTTGAACCCTCACAATATATAAAAACGAAGAGAGGGTGTGTAAATGTTATTGATAATTTTCATTACGACAATGGACTTATTGGATTGCTTCATATTTCTCAGGAAGAGAAAAATCTAAATATAAATAACGAGTGCAACATAAATATTCCATCAAAAACGCAATCTAATTGTTTGATAAATAGTACATTAGAAAACGTAAGTGCGAGGGTAGAAGATACAGCACATCGATGCAAACAAAAAAAGATGGCAGCGGACACGTCAATGCGGCCGGCGTGAACATAGCCAATAGTCATAACACAGTCTCCCATCCATTAGTAGTGGAAAAATCATTTGCTCATATTACTTCTGGCGGAAAATGGATTTCGGTGGACGTCACCCCCCACATTTCGGTCACCTCGTGAGCCAGTTTGAGATATTTTCTCGTTTTCTCAGTTTCGGCTTTCACGATTTTATTATTGTTAAGTCCTAACGTACCCCGAAAAAAATTCATTTAATACTTTTCCTATTTACGGAAACGAAAACTAATGGGTTCAATAATTTACAGAAAAGTTCAAAAATTTCTAATTTTGATTCAGCTAACGATTATTAACGACAGTAAGATGTATGTTAGAGCAAGATAGAGAAGATATTAGGTTTATAAACTAATATTAAGTACTAATATTAATTTTAAACAAATAATCGGGACTTGAAAACAGTAGTGGTGCAATACACGTGGAAATGTCTGCAATAAAAAAGCAGATGTACTATTTACCTTCAAAGGTTTTTTATCGCATTACATCCCGATTGTATATTTAAAATATGTGTAAACAACGCGAAAATTTAAAATTAATTAATAACATCAATTGCCAGACCCTAAAGCTAGGACACCTTGTATTATGGAAAACGAAAAAGTTGATTATATAAAATGTTACTTACACTTTCAAAGTTTCACTTCTCAGCAAATCAACTTTATGGATGACATTCTTATCCTCTTTTGGCTTCGGTTTGGCCTCTTCTTTCACCTCTTCCTTGGGTTCAGTTTTTAATTCGTTGTTGACCTGCACTATGCCACTGGCTACCAGTTTAGCAAACAAATCGTTCACGTTTATGTTGGCCAGGATTGGGAGTGTTGGGTTTGCCGGTTTCTCTTCGACCGATGGTTCCAATCCTGGTATTTTATCTGATTTCAAGAAGATCGGCTCGGCTAAACTGTACTCTGAAGCAGACGCAGGTGCCATTGTTGAAGGCATGACACTTGCCAACATGTCCAAACCTGAAAATGTACTTACTTTTATTAAATTAATAAACAATGCATTTCATCATCATTTCAGTGATTCATCATCCATGTTGAATACACATCACTTCCAAAAGCAATCTACAGTAATTACAATTCCAAAATAATTTAAAAAAAACCAACCTTGTGTATTACTGTCACTGTTCATTTCAGGGCTCGGTGTCTTCACAGGTCTCGGTACAAACACTTGATCAGTTTCCATGTGTATTACTGTCACTGTTCATTTCAGGGCTCGGTGTCTTCACAGGTCTCGGTACAAACACTTGATCAGTTTCCATGGCGGTTTGGTAGTTAAAGCCGACCGTCGGCTGCATGACCGGTTCCATTCTCGTGCCCTCCATATTTGCTATTTCTATGTGACCAGCCTTTATGTGACGAGGGAGTGCCGAAAATCTAATGAAGAACTTTTCATTACCTATCGATATCGGTTTAGGTAAATCGCCAAACTCCAGTTTGAACGGTTGCTCGTTTATTAGAACAGTTCTCAACGAATCCACGAAGCGTATCGTCAACACATGTCCATTGATGAGGAACTTTTGTACTTTAGCATCGAGGTAGACGGGACACCTCTGTGTGGCGTTCACGATGACATTGATTTTGCCAGCAACTAGATCTGTGCGTTTAGTCTTTCCGATATCAACTTGGGGAGGCGGCCCTTCTAATTGCACTAATCTAGGTTTCCCATCGATGATCGTGCCGATAGGTCCAGATGATTGGGATGAAACTTTAGTTTGTGGCGGGTTGTACGGTGGTGAAAATCAGCAGCAGGTATCAATCCGAACAATTCCTCAGAACACTCCCCATGATAAATTCGGTAGAAGATGCACAGAGACGCAACATCTCTGCGCAGTTTCAATGGGTCAAGTCGGACAGTAAGGCGTTGACTATGACCACCAAAAAAGCATTCGTACCATCTGCCATTTATATAAAGCTCCCTCGTCGGCGCCCCAAAACGAATGTCAAACACTTGATCGTCGATCTCCACTTGTTTGTAGCCTTCATTGAAAGATAATACTACGGAATCCTTATTATCGAACGTAACTCTTCTGCACCCGGGCAAGAATTTGATCTCTCTTGGATCATCCCAGTCCATCATGATGACAGCTGTTTCACCATAAAATCTAATCTCTCTCGGCACTCCATCGATTTGGATCGTTTTAACAGGATCTCGATCTATGTACTCTAAAATTCTAAAATCTGTAGGTGGGATGGTAATTCCTGGCGCGCCGAGAGGAGGTGGGGACACGGTCCTTTCGTACGGCTGGAGAGGGCTCTCTCCCTGGCACATGCCAGGTGTAGGTGTCGGTAAGGGCAACGGTAGCCGCGGGTCGAACGGTGGTCTCATCGCTCTCTTGTCGAATTTTCCTCTAAAGAACTGTTGTGCTGGACCCCGAAACCTTCGCGGTCCGTACTCTTCGACTCTCGGTCTGGGCTGCCCTCTCCACATGGGCGTGAATGGTGGGAACATCGGCATCGCCGGAGGCATTGGCAGTACATTAGAAGGCGGGGGACCATCGCATCCATCCATGGAGTTCATATTCATTCTCATATCCGAATCTTGACTGAGAAACTGTTGACTATCTGGTGGAGTATCTATGAAGACAGGGGTAATTCTCTCATCAATGTCTCCAAATTTATTTCGATCAGTCGGCGATGACTTGGGACTAGCAACTTTAGTATTTTCATCTTTCGTATGCGCCTTGAGTTTCCTTTTTGATACCTCTAATGACTCCCGCTGTTTTGCTTCTTTCAATTTGAGTTTCTCGTTCAGTTGCAATACTTGATACATTAAAGCATTATATTGACTTTTGTCCAGTTGACCATCACTGAACTGTTCTTTAGCTTGGTGCATGATAATGGATATTGATTTTTTATGATCCTCTGTGTTATCGGTTCTCAAATCTATATCTTCGGAACTGAGAGTACGACGTCTCTCCTTTTCAACACCTGATGATAAAATGATAATTATTAAATGCACAAAAAAAAAAATATTTTGTAATCACATTGTTACAATTTACAAAAACTATTCCTTGACAGCCACATCAGACCTGCACAGGATTTTCATACATTTTGCAATTCCAATACAATTTTTATTATGTAAAGAATAATTATCGCTCTTAAAACATCTCTAATAGCCTAATTGCGGTTGCCAACCCGCCTGCCAAATGTGACAACTACTGGCAACCTCCCCTTATGGGGAAAGATTATGTTCAACAGTGAGCAATTATTGGCTGAAACATTGAAAGAACAATTACTTACTTGGTGATTTACTGAAGAGCAATGGTCTTCCCAACCTGTCTTTTCCTTTAGTAGCTTCCGCCAGCTTAGCTTTCGCAATATCCAACTTGGAAGGTGTTTTCTTTATGTCTTCATTATTTTCTTTGACTTCATTCCAGTCTTTTTGTTTTGGTGAATTTTGAGGCGAGGGTACAACATCCTCGTCCATTTTACTAACCGATTTAGGTGAATCATTAATTGACGGGGGTGGTGGGGCGTTTATTTCTTCTACTTGGGGCAACTGACGGAGGTCTACGTCTTCGTTACCGAACAGTCTAAAAATAACAGTTTAGTTAGTTAGTTTATTAACACTAAAATTATAAGCAATTGCAAATTAAAACAGCTACTTCAATCGTGCTTATGAAATTATTATTTAACCAATATGAAAGAGAATATATATATATATAATACCTATCAATATAATATACATCTTTTATTATTGATGTGATTTTAGCTTACAACCTTTAAAACTTATAGAAAACATCAAATACTGATAAGTAATTCTAACTCTCAGCATTTGGGATCATTAAACTTTACATTTAATTCATTACAATAAATAAAATTCTTCCCGCGTTTTACCACCACTGAGAAAATCTAGCTTCATGACTTCAACTGAATAAAAAGTTACTTACGCCAGTTATTGTAAATTGTACATACGAAGCAAATAGCCGTTTATTCGTGACTTTAAAAACTATAAATACTATATAGACGTGACTTGCTTAGTTTTAATAAAATTTAAACATAGAACAAACGTGAAGTTTTAAATAGGAAGTTTAAATGAAAAAATAAACTACAAAATTATGAAACAAAACTAGAAATAAAAGTACATATACGAGTATGAATAGGTGTAAAAAATTCGGAATTTTTTTTACAGGTAAAGCGGATTTCGAGTTAATACAATTCGGATAAATAGGACTTTACTTGATTCTGTTACCCAATAACAAGGTGGTTTCTTTGTGAAAATATACATAGATAAATTAATACGTAACAGAATACTCACATGTCAAACTTGTCGTGTTTAGTTCTTTTAGCTTTCACATCGGGCAACTCGGTCGATGACCGCTTCTGGCTGACCGCAGCTGGTTTAACATCCACTGAGTGCAACACCCGAAGGTCCACATCCTTAGTCTCGTCAATTTCAGGAACACCTGAAAATGGGACTTTATTTTTATATAATCTTATGTCTACATTGCAATATCAGACGTATGCTGTAACCTTTTACCTTGACCCGTTTGTTGGGATCATTTCACATGTCAACACACTTACCCATGATCCAATGACATTAATAATACATTCTACCGTCCACATAAGTTACATTATCAATCCTTTACTTGGTGCGAACACTCACAATGTAGTTGCGTTTAACCCAGAATGATAAGGGAAGTATCTACTGTTACTAATTCTATAACTATTTTCTCCAATCTTAAAGCACAGAGTTCGGTACAGTCATATTAATCAAATTTTTAGGGGATTCCTGCAAGACTTATATAATAAAAAAAAAAATTGGTTATTAAATTAGATATTTAAGTAACAACTGACTGAATCACCTCTTCCACTTTTAAATCGATTAAACAATTTGTAAATGTACACAAATAATTATTGGACTTATTTATCTCTGATTCAATGTATTGCGCTAATTTCCCTAAAATTGTTTCTATTTTCCATTTCTATAATCAAATATCTGATTTATACTATTTATTGAATGAAATTAAAGAAATATAAATTGTTATACTCTGAAGGTATATAGTTGAGGAAACAATGTCAGCCACAGCCACGCGTGGATCGAATGTTAGCACGTGAACTGAACCCGTGCTCGTTATGTTCGGATTACTTGCAACAACCCTTACGATATTTCTAATGGGAAACATCTTTATGCCTCACGTGCTTATATTACTTGATAACTAAGACAATTTAAATTTATTATCGGGACTTAACAATGCAGTTTTGAAAATAAATTCAAATAGCAATAAAATGTACGCTTTCAAATATTGCATCAGACGTATTAATACAATATTCTAGAAGACCCGACCTAAATTTAATATTAATCAGTTAACACCCTAGCCATATGTACTTGTAGTCATATATATTTTATAATGTAAGCATAATTACCGAATATCTATCTACCAGTTAGACATCTGTTTTTCTATATTCAGCACAATTATTAAACAATCTTGGCACATCTCTTTATCGAATTCAGTGGATTCAAAATTTACAATTTCAAATTGGCTGTTAGTTTATTTATAAAGTATACATTGGGATCGATTCTCATTTCTCTAAATATATCTCTTAACGTAATGTTATAAATTGATAATTTCACGAGATTAGTATTTTATGACCTATTTATTATATGCCGAGAGCGACCCTTTCCTTTCCCGTAAGAAGCTTCTAAAGGAGGGCGAGAGATGGGCAGCAGCGTACCTTTTAAAACGTCTTCAAAGCCTAACTGCGGTTGCCAATCCGCCTGCCAAGCGTGTCAACGGGTAGTTGACACGCACTCTTTAACAGCTACATTAGACCTGCATAGGATTTGACGCCTGCCAAGCGTGTCAACTACCCGCAGTGGACAGTTAAACTATAAACATATACTATTTTATGAACTATCACAAACTAAATTTATATAACAATTTTTTGACTAAATCTAGTAAAATAATTTAAATTTAGAGAAATGACACTTTAGAATCGACTTTACTGTTTTCACAAAAAAATATGCCAAGTTATTTCTTAATTATAACAATTAAAGAAAAACAGACCATTAGTATCTACGAATAGTATATACAAATGTAAAAAAAAAACATTTGTGTAGTTAAATTAATAATAAAAATATGCATATATTTGCACTGACAAGGAAATCAACAAATCAAATATAACCGTTTCATATTCAGTCTAATTATGAAAAAAAAAACCACAGGTTACAGTCACACCCCCTTACAATACAGCGCCATCAAGGGGTTTGATGACTTCAAATATGTCACATTAATGATGCAGGAGGCTCAAGATCATACTTTGGCAAAATATGAAGGAGAGATTCAAAAACAGACGATGTAAAAAATAAATTAATAATGTAAATCACTGAAGCATGTTACACTTATTAATAAGACATTCATTGTCACTATACAGTATTCGATAGTTTTTGAAATAATATCCTAGATAAAATAATATACTACATAATTAACGTAAGATATCACAATTTGACGAAGAATGGTTTTTAAAAAAATCTTCAAATACGGTATTCGTCTAGCCGTCATTGATACAAGTCGAATACTATATTCTTACCACATGAATACGTAATAACTTCTAAACTCAAACAGGAAAAGCTTCGTAACATACAGTGGAATGGAAATTAAGGTGATAATAAAAATTATCAAGTTTATGTGTGTTGACAATGTTTTACAGTAAACACTTTTCCTATCTACATAACATTTCCGTTATTAAATATCTTATCTAATTATTAAATATCTAATTATATCAAAAATTAATTAATATTAGAATTGCAACGTATATCTAATCTTTACTGATAGAAAGTAACCCAATGAAAATAAGAAAATTAAGTTTGGAAAAATTACGGAAAATTTAAGTTCTAAATTCAAGAACTTGGCAAACTTGGCAAATACACTGCCAACCGATGTTATAAAGTAAAAGTATTAACTGTGGCTTGACAATATGAATAGTACAATGAATATTGCAGAATATTACAGAGATTGTTAGTAATGGAACTGTCAGACGCCACTGCTAGCAATTATATCCTGTCAGATCGACCTCCAGACAGTCATTCTGGAAACTATTGTAGTTAACTTATGCGATGAGCCAACTGACCTGTGCCTTCATCCTCATCGTTTCATCCACCACTGGTGCCCCTGTATTGTGTATCGTTAGCAAAGACGGGTACAACATTCCATCTTTCTCCAATTAAAAAAAAAACACTTTCCTGTCCCTGTACTGTGAGACATTTTTAGTGGCACACATATCAACTGCGGACTCTTAGAATCTGTTTTTTTTATAGGGTAAAAATGGAACTCGGCCTATGTCATAGGTACATGCTGGCGGGGCACCAGTGAGAAATGATAGGGGAGGATAAAAGCAGGTCATTCACGAACTGAATCAAGTGACCAACTCAATAAAAATTAACCACAATGGTTTACAGAAGTAAAGAATGGAGGTTGACCTAATTGGATATATTACTAGCAATGAGACTATTAGACCCCATTACTGACCAATCCAATGACCCCCTTGAGTTTCGTTTAGAACCACAAAACTTCATGAAAAAATACTTTTTCGTTAATTTTTCAAAAGTACTGACCGTCTCCCCCTTTTATAATACACTAATAAATATGTATAAATACATAAAAGGAAAGTATAGAAAATTAAAAAATTACAAATTAACGAGAAAAAAGAATTCAAATTGATATCCAGGTGAAGGAGAGAGTTAAAATGCATTCGCAAGTTATCCAAGTACGATGTATATCTGTTTTTTTTTTCTATATCTAACACATTTAGTATAGAAAAAAACAAATTGAGGGTAGCGCACGTGGATTACGAATCTCTGATATTATTTTATTAAAGTCACAGGAAACAAGGCGAGGACTTTTAGTATAACTCTAAAACTATAAATGTATGTATTCAAAAGAATACACATGTAGTTTGTTTAAACTATTATAAGTAAACTTCAATCGACAATAAACATCTCAATCAAAACATAAATTTTAATTGACATGTTATGTAATTTAACCCTTTAAACGATAATATTTTTTTCGTGCAGAAAAACACGTAGACTCCAAGGTATCGCCTTTAAGTGTACTTTTACTCTCCAATTTCGACGGTTTTGGCCGTCCTAGTGTCACCTAACTCGCTTTTCTTCTAAAACCGTCCTTGTTACAAGTTGGAAACAGCTCCAAATATGCAGTTGAGATGTCACTACAGTAGCCTTTCTTACACTATCTTTAAACTTCATTGTAACTGCATTCTTTTCCCACTTTGTAGTTAAGTAGACACAGCCTACGAATATATCTTCTTCGTTGTACTTAAAGAAACTAATAGATTCCAAGACAATATTTTTTTGCAATTTTGCTGTCTATACGTTTGTTCCGGCTTCTCGTAAATACAAATTGTATGCAATTTTCACTGTTATATATTTTTTCTCAAACATGCTTGGAAATGTGAGCATTATTTTGACAACCTTCTTCGAAATAAATCAAAATTGCCGTACTGGCCAGATACATGCGGGCAGCGGCCGGCAAAAGTTGTATGAAAATCCATATCTGTCGTGTTTTGAGGCCAGATAAATTACTATGTAAATTCATATATGTCCTGTAATTTAAAAATGGATTGACCTTTTACTTCGAAACATGGCTACCAAGGAGGTAACTAATAAAATGTTTTATTAAAATTTCGAACGGGCTTACAAATAGAAAGCTGTTTATTGAAAAAAAAAACGAAGCAACATTATGGCGCGTGAAAAATTGTTATTGTTCGTTATTAGTCATTGAAAGTAAAAAGTAAAATTGTGTTTTTGATTTCCGCGCATTGTTTGAGAAAAGTACTATACAAGCCTTGGCCACAATTAGGCATTGATGAACTCACATATGTATGCCTCGGCTACGCCTCGGCCCACATTTGCACGTTCGTCCATCAATGTCTCAGTTGTTGGCCGCTGCAGTAATGTACTATTAAATGTCTAACTTATAAACTAGTGTGTTTTATCTTCATATGCTATCTAGAAGTACTCCTTTTCATTAGTTTTCCTAGTTTTGAAATCTACACGCATGAAGTTATGGACAGAGCTAATCTTAAATACGATAGCAAAGCTAATCTATTATGTACGTACATATGTATATCTGAAAATAAAGTTATTTAAAGCAAATATTTCTAATAAAATTATATATAATAATTTTTATAAAAAATAAATTATAAATTTAAAAAATAATCTAAGTATACTTACTGAGAATTTTATCTGTATTGAAACTAAATAAACTAACTAAATTATATCCAACTCTCAGGACGTTTCTAAATAAAAAAAAATAGATTTTTGGATAATAAATGAGCATTTTATATAGTAAATAGTATTCCCCAGTTGGAGCGTTACATTAAGAACTGCTTCCAAGATGTACAAAATACTACGTTCCTAAACAAGTTTTCTTTATCCTCAAATAAATTAATTTTCACAAAAATTACCCTCCCAATTTTAATAATAATAATAATATATTTAACAAAATTGATGTTAGAAATAATCATGGATTTGCCGGTCAAGATTTTTTACAGATATTACGTTAGGGAAGAGACACAGAGAAGAGACAGAGAAGTACACTACCCTGGGCATATAATATAGTCGAAAATCTAACCAAGTAGGACCTTGCAGGTAAAAGTATGTTGCAGCATTTTCCTGACCTCTGGAGACTTCTTGAGGCGGTGTTGGTCCAAGAATCTGAAGCGTCGACTTTTACAATCCACTCAAGTGATGTCTTTAAAGCTCTTAGCATTTTATATTCAGTATTGATATATACTAGATATTCTTTGACTGAGTACTAAACACCGATCTCTCAGAAACGAATTGTTATTTTTAAAACTCGGCTTACGAGAAGTTGCAAGCACCACAGGTACATAAAGTTATGTTAATGAAAATCAGAAACAATCTGACACCAAATTAAAGAAACCCTTCAGTAATATACCGTGCAAAGGAAAAGTGCTTATAGAGTAGTACTGTAATTAACATAAGACTGCAAATTAGACAAACTCTGTGACTGTGCCAAGATACTTAAGTTAACTACAACCTATAAAATAACTTATTTACTTTTTGTGATTTGCGGAACTTAGCAATAAAGGGTTATATAATATGCCGACGTAAAACAAGTTAATATGAATACTCCAAGAGTTGCAAAATATTTTATTTTCACACAAGTGTAAACTCAATACTTCCGGCTCTCTCTTATAATCTAATATCACAGATCATAGAAAATACCAAAGACTAACTTTGTATTTTCTATCGGCCCTAACCTCGCATTCTGTTAACATTGAATGATATCTTACTTGATGAATCATTTTCAGTGCCGGTCTTATCCTGCTCGGTCTCGGTGGGTAATTTCTCGGGGCTCTCAGACTTCTCCTTGTTCCTTCTCATGTACCGTTCCTTGTGGTAATTTTTGAGCTCCTTGAACGCGATCGTTTCGGGCTCCGGCGGTTTCTCCGCCTCGTCGTCGGCGCGAGGCTCTTTCTTTCTCCGCGCCTCCTTGCTCCGCGACTTCTTCTCCGGCGAGGACTCGCTCGAGCCACTCTTGCCGCCGGCTTCCTCCCGCTTTTGTTTTCTCTCTGCGCGCAACTCTTTCCGTTTCTTATTTGGAACCGGCGAGTCCTTGGCTGCCTCCTCGCCCCTATTTATTTTGGGGATGGGCGGAAGCTTGTTGATTTTTTTGGGATCAGGCAGCTTCCCAAAGTAGTCGCCGATCGCGTTCTCGGTAGCGTCAGTCTTTTCCTGGGGTTTCTTGTCGACGTCGTTCCGGCGCTCGTCGCGTTTCCGCTCGCTGGCGTCGTCCGCCTTCTTGGGGCGGGGGTCATCGCGGGGCCGCGCTTTGTCTTTCCGCGGGCGGTCGTCGCGGTTCTCGAGGCGCGGGTCGCGGCGGCGCGGATCGCGGGGGCGTTGCGGCGCCTCGTCGGGCCGAACGTCTATCGTGATCACGTTTTTACGCTTAGTTACACGTTCAAGAGGTTTAATGTCGAATACGTTAGGCGCAATCGGCACTTGAGGCACTGCAGGCATGAGCGGCATCACAGAAGCCACCACAGGCGCCGCAGCAGGCACGGCAGCAGGCGCGGCGGGCCCGGTTGGCGCGGACGCCGCGGCGGTTCGCAGTCGCGCCAGTCGCGGGTCCCTGCGGGCGGCCGCTAGTGCACCACTCACTGGCGCTATGCGTCCAAGCTTATTCACAGGCTGAAACAAATATCATATTGAAACATTCGTCCAGTGCATATAGCGACGAGTCTGTTAACATAAAATAGCTGAAAAATATATGTATTATACCTACGTTTAAATACAAATTCAGGGTCTAATCGCAGAAAAATTGAAAATATAGTTCACTAATTACCGTAGCAAGTAATTGATTTCAAAATTTACAGATACAAGTATCAGATACTAACCGGCCCGAGTCGTTGCTTAACCGGGATGTTGGCCACATCCGGCACATTCGCCATCGGAGGCGCTACAACCGGGTTCACCTTAGCGACCGGCATCGTCGACGGCACAGTGGGCGGTGTTATCACACTTGTAATCTGCGAACAATAAAAAAAAAACTATGACATTCAGAGCGTTATATGATGTACATAGGGCTGGTCATGGACAAGGTTTACCAATTACCATCAAGTGGACCGTCAATTTGTTTGCGATTCCAAGTGTCTTAAAAAATCTAAATATTTTCATAGTAACCACAAATTTATTATTGTTACACCGCCACCTAAAAATATCTGGAAATTTAAGAGACTTAATTTTTATGAAATAATATCACACGTCTTTATAATTAAATAGAATGGCATAGGTTCTCTTACAATTTATTAAACATTAAAAAAAAATAAGGAAGTAAGTGATATAAACTTCATCAATCAAGTGTACGGTCTACAAAGAACTATACATTTTACTATACATATACATTCCTAAGTTAACTTTCATAACATAGAAATAGTGTTTAATTAAATGAAATGAAATTTATTTGCCAGAAACATTGTAGATAAGATGTTGCATTTGTCAAGTTTACAAGATGTCCATTGTGTTTCGCCACATCAAATGTCATGCAAATATTAGCCATTGAATTTACATACAGATAGGTTATTAGATATAGGTAATTTACATATTTAATTTTTAATTGCTTAGTACATTATACAATACACAAAAATCACTACTATCTACTAGTGGTACCTAATGCACACTTTTGGTCATCAATTCTGAGTAATCAATAAAGCTATTATAAAATAAATAAAAATGATAGAAACGTTATATGTCAGAAAATTTAATTACAATTTAAGTTTCAACGCTAAATTAAGTCGCAACAAGACATAATATTATTATGTATTTACAAAAATTTATTGTATTATTAATTTTCTACCAGAGGGAAATTTTGTACAAAAGTCGTTTGCTTGGGCAACTCTGTCTCATTCATGTTTCTACCTTGAAGCAACTGTTTGTATGGGTGTGTTTCGGTTAGAATGGTGGCATATGGCAGTGAATTTACAGGGTACAGAGGAATAACAGCCCTCAGGAATGGCAACGCATGAGGGGTATCATGGGCGAATCAGTGTACTCTGTTATGTCCATGGTACTGCTCTACTGTCTGGTCTATTATTATAAAAAAAAAATCTTACTAATACAGAATTTCCCCACAATACAAGTCCGTACCTCAATACTGATCTCATATAACCGTGGTAAGCAGTAAGAACTGTAGTTTCATTGGCTTCTCTTTTGAACCTTTTTAGAGCATACACAAAACTATTTATACGCTTTCCTACATCATTTGTATGTCCTAACTACAATTTTGATCCAATGTAAAGCCCAAAAACTTTACTTCCTTAGATTTTGTTATAATTTCATTATCGCATTTTGTAATAAAGTCTATTAGCTTCATGAAATAGTTCAAGAATTGCATATACTTAGTCTTAGATATATTGACACTTAAATCATTGTATTGCAACCAATTGACTATGTCTCTTATTGTGTTCTTTATAGTAATTTCATAGTCAGATTTTATTCTTTCATTTTCATGAATAATAACTGATAAATCGTCAGCAAATAAAACAAATTGATGTTTAGTTATGTCTGGCAAGTCATTTATATAATATATAGAATGAAAAATAGAGGTCCCAATGTACTTCCTTGTAGGACTCCCAATAGTTTGCAATGATAGATTTAAAAGACTTGTTTATGTTTGTATCATCAAATTGATTTATTAATACGCATTGTTTTCTGTTTGAGATGAAGCTTGATATCCATTATTTATATTTTGATATCCATTATTGTCAATTTACGAATAATATGCAGATAATGTTGTCAATTTTTTTTTTTTTTGGAATCCATTTTGTTCATTTTTATTTATATTAAATTTATGAATAAAATTATTCAGTTTAATATTGTTTTTATTTTATTTTATTTAAAAGGTATACACAACAGGTTACAGTCAATAACATTATAAACATATATATAATAGTTTGAACTAGATTGAGACCCAGACAGGTGTACACACACCACGGTTAAAACAGTTGACAAACTATGTTAAATTACAAATTATATAAAGAAAGCATATAAATGTAGTAAATAACAATGAAACACATGCAAATAATAAAAATATATAAAAATATGGTCATGTCAAAGAGACTTGATAGCTGATTGTAAAATGTTTTTGAAGTCATTCAGACGTGAGTTGAAGATATCAATTTGAGGACATTTAGCGGAAATTTCATTAAAAGTACGACACATACGGATGAGCAGGTTATAATACGATATGCATCAATCTTTCAAATACCTTTGAAAATACTAAGTTTAATGTAATAGGTTTATAATTGTTTAATTTGGTTTTGTCATCTTTTTTATGTAATGGAATTACTATTGAATGTTTCAATCGATTTGGAAATATAGCTAGCGTGAAAGACAAGTTCACAATATACATTAACACTGTGGCAATCTCGTTTGCAAACTCTTTTTAATATGCGAGTTGAGATATCATCAAAACCCACAGACCTTGTATTTTTCAAAGATTTTATAATTTTAATGACTTCTTCATTACAAGGTTATATAAATATTGATGAATTCAGGTTTTAAATATTTTTTTGCTGGCAATTAGCTTTTACAGTATTTTTTGTGTAAGATATAAAATAATTGTTTAATGCATTTGCAATATTTTGAGGATCATTTATTTTTTTATTCTCAACCTCGATACATTCAATTTCTTGTTCACTTATATTTCTCCTTTTTTATTTATGGCATCCCAAGTGGCCTTGCACTTGTTTCTTGACTTATTAATAATATTATTATTATACATTCTTTTTGAGTAAGTAATGCATTTATTTAGAATTTTTGTATATTTAAAATAGCATATTTAAATAAGATTTAGTTTTACTTGTATTTTGTTTATATGCATTATATCTAAGTTTTCGTTTATGTGCGCATGATAGTTTTAGTTTTTGGTGATCCACTTAGCTTTATAACTTTTTTTCTCTAATTTTGATTTTTTTTTTATTGGAAAACAGAAATTATACAGAGAACAAAATATGTCATGAAATAATTTAAACTCTATATATAATTTTCCGGCCGATTCTGACACTTTAAACTTCTTCGGAGGAGTTGTGCCTTTTTTTTTGCCAGTGCATCGACTATATCTTCGACTCAGGTTCATAGTGGTGAACCCAAGTTTCATCTCCAGTAACAATCCGGGCCACAACTTCTTTCCTACTCTCTCCACAGAGCTCCAAAAACTGGCGAGAACACTCGACGCGCTAATTTTTTGAAGTGTCGTATTATTTTATTGTAGTGGAGTAGTGCAGGTGTATCAGGACCAAGAACGGTCCTGACGGTCTATGGGGGAGGCCTATGTTCAGCAGTGGACAGATAATGGCTAAAATGATGAAATAGTAGTATTTTTTTAGTTCTGGGTCGCGTAAATGACAAATCGATCCGTCCTCGCTATTGGATACGGGCGACGGGTCAACTAGTAATATGGGAGATGGCCTCAAAAATGCTAACTTATATTGTAGTAACTTTTACCCGCGACGTCATCTTCGTGACCTAGATATGTTCACTGACCGGGATAAAAAGTGGCCTATGGCCTTCTCCGTCAATTTTCAATTTCAATTCAATTTATTCACAACAATATTACATTGTGTTGAATATTTGTTTTATACAAAACAAGAAGATATCATAAAACAACTTTACAATAAAACAAAAAGTATGAAGTAACAAAACAACCAATAATAATTGTTCAAAAATACAAAATTAAACAAATGTCATTAGTAAGGCATAGTACATAATTAAAATTGCGTGTTCACTCTATGTTTGAAGGATTCGAGATCCAATATATTAAAATTCATCAATATATAGTACGTGTAAACATAGAATACGGTTAATATATAAGTAGATAGATATAGGTCGACATAGTATTGTGGTAACAGACTTTAGTTTTATGTGTATAAATTAATCTACATGCGTCATCTACTCGTCTCCCCGATTATGTCCTACATCTGTAACAGTCACGTTCACAAGGCTATCTATCTATTCATTTAAGAGCTGCGCTCTTGTCGGTAGAGCTCTTGCCACTCACTACGATTTTCAGCGAGTCTCTTCACCTCTTGATACGACACGACACCAACTCCTTCCTTGATCTGCCTGATGTAACTATGTCTCGGTCTCCCTCTCCCCCTTCTTCCTTCTATGTTACCTTCTATTATAATGTTCATAAGTTCGTCGTGTCGTATCAAGTGTCCTAACATTTTTTCCCCTTCTGTCCTCAAGTAGCTGTTGAAAATAAAATAGAAATGGAAAGTGCATATCGAGACGAGTAGATCAAATGAGTTAACTTGAGCCCACTGTACTTACTATACATATAAATAAAATAGCTCACGCTTGTCTAGTAGTAAAAAACTTTACGCGAGTCTCGAGTGGATTATTTTTAGGACTGAATAAATCAATATATAATTTTAGTATGTATGTATATCAATAATAACTAATACCGCATTCGAGTATTCTGACACTTTCCTAAGGTTGACTGGGAGAGAATGTTTTTAGTGTTAAGTCCGCCATGTACACATTTATGTATTAATGAATAAATAATAATAATAATACATAAATAATATTATTCTTGTAGTAATTTGCAACAATAAGGTATGATAAGATAATATTTATAAATTTTCTCCATATTTACATTTTATTAATAAGTTTAATTGATATTTCATACATTTATACATCATGTTTACACGAGTAATCCGACTGAATACCACATTTTATTGATTATTAAAATTTAAATATAATATGATGATCATCATCATCTCAGCCATTACCCGTCCACTGCTGGACATAAGCCTCCCCCATAGACTGCCATAAAGAACGGTTCTGAGCCACCTGCATCCACTGACTCCCTGCAATGCATTTCAGGTCGTCACTCCATCTAGCGGGGGGGGGGGGGGGGGTCGTCCTACACTACGTAAATATAATATAGTACTATTTATTAGATTCTTTTAGCAATTATTAATTATATAAATGGCATCTTCGTCGAATAAGCAATATAACTATACCGTAATAATAGAAAACACCACAAAATCACTTCAAAAACAACATAGAACGACATTATTTACCAAAAGTGTCTTAGGGATGGCACCTAGAATATACAATAAATTACCTAAATCTCTCGCAGATATAGATAACATAAAATATACAAAAGTAAACTGTATGTGTACTTAGTAAACTGAATATACTATTCAATTGACGGTTTCCTTGGAGATACATACAATAAATTTCCTTAATATTATAATTTTTTTACTGTAAATGTGACATTATGTTCATCAATATCATATCTAATATCAATGATCATCTGCTCTCGATTATTTGGTTTGGTTTATTGTGGAAACTTAACTGATTTATGTTATGGTTGTGTATACTATTTTATATGTCTCAGGTATTATATGTTTCCCTTTCAAAGTAAAATAAAAAAATAAATAAAAAAATATTGATTTTCTTATTATAATTTGTATACCTCGATAGATGGAGTTGATCATAGAGGACTTGTCTTGTTTTACCATCCATTGTTACCCATGTATCACAAAATAAATAAATGAAATAAAAAAAAAGTATAACTATCACGTTCAAAACAAAGTGTCGCAAGACAGATATGATTAGACGTTTCCGATAAAATTTGATTGCGACGTACCGAAAGATAATTAATAGAATATTCATTCTGACATCATTAGTAATATTACAAATGCGAATGGTAGTTTGTTTATTGCCTTTTATCGCATTAATAGTTTAACCGCTCATAGTGATTGGAAAACTTACGCACCTTTTGTCACCTAGTTCAGCAAAATCCTAAGGAATTTGATTTAAATGTAATATTATATTGACGTGTGGTCCCGGCATAGAATTGGCCATTGCTTCCATTCCCGTGGTTGGTGGTAAAATTTAATGATTCTCTTTATAACGAAATTCTGAAGTAACAAACACAAATAAAAAATAGAGGCGAATACTATCCAAATAAATGCCTTCCTTTTTGGTATTGATTGAATATGTATAAGTTAGAAATTCAGAAAAAATTACCACATACACGTCATATTTCGAATAGAGAAAAACATGGGTTACTTTTCATTGTGATCAGTTAACATTACCCTGGTCATGCAGACAGAGTCGAGGGCAAAATATATAGGCAAAGTAAACAAATACATATTTTTATATTCTTCATAAAAAAACAGTGAAGGAAACTTACACCTACATATTGTTTTTTTCCTAACAGTGTTATCCCTAATATTCCGTAGACAGAGAAATATTATCATAAACAGATTGAAATAAAATAAACACTAAATGTTAAGTGGCGCAAACAGATAATCATTAGTGAGAACCGCATTCAAATCGGATAAGCCGTTTCTGAGATTAGCGCACACAAACGTACAGACATACAAACAAACACATAGACAAAAATTCAAAATGATGAAAGGCTATGATAGGTTTTCTTATATATTTTCCTTCAATGTACAAACGGTGACCAGTTACGATTTTATTATATATATATATATATATATATATATATATATATATATATATATATATATATATATATATATATATATATATATATTGATTGGTATTATATGACTAAGTATCTTTGTAAATACCCACGACGATATAAATACCGGTTTCTACACGAGTGAACAGTATATTTTCCTTCTACTTTGAGATAAAGTCATAGCAAACTGCAAAAAGTGCAGGCAAAAAAGCAGTAAATATATAATATTGTTATAGTAAGTAGTTTAATAAATTATATGTATTTGATATTTTTGTGAATTACATTGGTTTTTGTACTTTATGCACGAAAAATTATTAATTCACTCTTGCGCCACCTGCCCGTTTCTATCTGTTCTCCTTTAACCAAAGGTTGTCTGTAAGAGATTGCCCTAGCGATAAGACCGCCTTTTGTACCTTTATGTGTATATTTCAATCTGTAATTATGTTACTGTATTTCACTTGAATTTTTCACTTCTCATTGTATATTTTTATTTATGATACAATAAAGAGTTAAATAAATAAATATTATACTTGACACCGCCACGCGTTCCGTAGGAGAAGGGTCGTGACCGACGGACAGACAACGAAGTCATCCTATAAGGATTTCGGTTTTTTTCCTTTGGAGGTACGAAACCCTAAAAACTCTGAATTATAAAAATATAAACCCTCATAAAAAAAACTATTTAAAAAAGAAATAGACTTTTATTCTTAATTTATTTTTTCATTTATTCATGTTTCACGATATTTTCGCTAATTCTAATCCCTTTAAAAGGTCAAAAGAAAGAAAGCGGCTTGAAAATTCTGAAAGTCGGAATTTGGACGTCTCACAGTGTTTTTTGACCCAAAAAAACAACCATCCTCTTTTTATATTTTGATTTTTTAGAATAGATCATTACAAAGGTAAGAGTAGAACTCCCGATATTCAAATGTGCTTTGATCAAAAGATATATATTTTTTTTTTGTAAATATTCGAAAAAATTAAAAATATTAAAATCTTCGATTCCATATGTGTTTCTGTAAATCTACTAGTGTCCTTCTATGCGGCTTTAACATACACAAATAACACAAAAATATGAACCGTAACATATGAAAGATACGCGAGATAAAAAATAAAAACGTTATTTCAGGTTTTATTTTTTTTATAGCTGTATCTTGTCCTGGCTGGATTCAAAACTTTGATAAATAGCTAGCCTCCTATAGCACCAGTAACACGAAAAAAAATCAAATCCTAATAGTGCAGGATCTTTGAGTTATAAGCTTCTCGAGTTTTGTACTTATTTCTGTGGTTTTAGGATTGCCACGCCGAGTTACTACGTTGGACTACGTTAACTAGCGACCCGCCCAAGCGATTGTACATAAGCATATGGCAATGAAATGGAGCATCGTCATGATTTGGTACTAATCACTAATTTTGACTACATACATGTTCTGAATGTTTTATTGCATTGCCACGCTGTGTATATTTTATATAAAATAAGTAGCTTATATAAAGGATATTATTATTACAATAAAACTTTAAGGACGTTTTATAGTCTCCGTTTTAGAGTTTATAAAGCCTTTTTTTATACAACTTAGAATTGCAAACAAGCTGACGGCCCACCTGATGGATAGTGGTAACCGTCGCCTATAGACATGAGCAGTACCATAGATATAACAGAGTATACAGTTTCGCCTTTAGACAATAATCGAGTTATTAAAATCGTTTATGTAGTTATTTTATAAAACTTGTGTAATAAATAGGAACTTAATGGGATATAATTGCAATTAGCATAAGACAATTATAGTATATAAGAAATCATTTTTAAAATACCCTGAAGTTTTTAGACACAAGTGATAGATAGGGTGTGTTCTGTATGAAAAGAGCTTGTCTGGCTAAATTATAAGTTTTTTTTATATTCTAAGTTAGAATGGCAAACAAATTAATGGCCCACCTGATGGAAAATAATAAACGTCGCCTATAGACATGTGCAGTATCATGGACATAACAGAGTATACTGTTTCGCCTATGATACTCCCCATGCGTTGCCATTCCTGAGGACTCGGGTGTTATTCCTCTGTACCCTGTAAATTTCTTGGCATATCCCATCCTTCAAATCGAAACACAGCCATGCAAACACAACTGGTTCACAGTAAAAAACACAAATGGAACAGAGGTGCCCAAATAAACGACTTTTGTACAAAGTCTCCCTTTGGTCAATGGACCATTTACAGACCTAATGGAAGAGATGTCACATCAGTCGACAAGAAAATTCCAAAAATTAAACACACATTGTAATCAAATGTAATTATAGCTAGAAAAAAGGATTATTGGCAGATAAATAAAAAAAATAAAAGACTTACCTTAGTATTTTTCTCTGTCATCTCCAACTGCCGCCGAGCTTGCTCCAGCTCCATTTCGACCTTCTTCCGCTGTAACATCAATAATTCTTGTTCCTTCTTGGCGAGGATGTTGCGCATTTTCTCTTCTTCATCTGTTGGTGTGGCGACACTGGTGGTAGGCATCGGCTGTGAAATAAGAGCAACATAAAGTAACAGTTCACTTGAAGCTATTATGACATTTTACTAAAGAAAACGTAATTAAATAATTACAAGCTCATTTCTGTTGGAATGAGTGAAATTTTTAGTGTAACACAGTTTCATCAGAATATTATTTATTATAAATCATTAATAGTAATTAATGCATGAAGTATCATTCGATTCAATAGATAAACAATATCATGTGTTTGCTGAACATTTGTATGTAATATAGCATAATATTATGATATTTATATATTGAACAAAAAGTTTATTGAAAAAAATAATTGATAATATATAGGCAATATTAAATGGTCATATATAATGATATGAGTTATATATATAATATATCATTAATATTCATAAGGATGCAATGGTTGCAAATCACTTGGGGATTGTGAATAGCATTTTTATGATGATTCTATCACACAACTCAAGGTATATTAGTAGGTATGGTTAAGCTACATAATTTGTAAACTAAATCAACATGGAAACATAATCAACTAAAAAAAACACCTTTTTCAGAAAATTTGGATTTACATGGATGTTCGACTGCTGAGGCTGAGCCTGAATTGGCCACGCTGGGTCAATCAAGTTCACTTTCACATCCAACTGGTAGAGTTTGGTCGCTGGAAACACATCATGCCACGTCTCACGGAGCTTGAACATCTGTGACCTCACTCTCTCATCAACCTGTGAAATTAATTCAATTTAGAATAAAATATAAATTTGAAAATACAACATGAAAACAAATCTAATGGAATGTGCACAACATACCTGTTTAAATGTCCTCGTAAACATGTTGACAATACTTTGAGAAAATTTCTGTGTGTAAGCCCGTCCGACATTCTTGATAATGGAATCTACTAAGTACAGGACAGGCAGCTTGATATCCGGATGTACCTGTGTAGAGGAAAAATAGTATCTAGTCCCAAACCCCTGGCTGGCCAAGTTATTAAACTTTGCTCTTGTATCAACCATTCTCGACTTCCCAATTGAAATTTTAGAGACATGGTGTGGGAATGAATAAGACAAATGTTTGTTTAACAACCTGTTTAATAGTGAGCATACGTAAAATAAATAAGGAGACAGTTTTCAAAACCTTTATTTTAACAATTACTTACATCTGAAATGAAATCAGTGGTCATAATGGTTGTATAATAACATGACTGCGGCCACAATAATGATATGGAATTTTGCAATGGTAACTTACAACAGGTATCTCCTGATTAAAGTATTTAATAATCAATAACAATATATTTATATTTAAATCATATTTATAACTACAAATTAAGAGACTATTCAATATATCAATCAATATTGCTCAATATGGTGTAAAATAGATACATCACAATAATTTTACTTGGTATATTGCATTAGTTAAAGAAAAATGTTCAACAAACTGAAATTATCAATGTAATTATCTTATCTACTATCTTTTAATGCCTTTTTAAGTGTATTGCAAAACAAATTTGATCTACAAAAATTGTAAAGCATAGGAGATACCTGTACTGGGAAGTAGTTACATAGGCCATTACAATGCCAACACCGTAAACACGTTTGGCACGGCAAAAGCGTGCGTCATATCTTTAAAACACTTTCCCTACTTTCCGTGACACTCACGTGACATCGTGACACATTTATGTGACGCTCCAAGTACCGTAATTTAAAAATGGAAATTCACCTTTTCCAAGTGCTTCTCAACTGTTTCAACGATAACCCCTGCATGCTCGATGTTTTCTTCGGCGAGTATAGTAAGCATATTTATTAGAGGCTTGCTGTTCATAGTCAAGTCCGCCAAACTTGAAGCGTACTCCTCCGCTATTTCTTTTGACATGTTGAATGGTGACTGCAGTCTCTTTCTTCACCATGCCAAGCACTGTCTTCAACTGCACATCTCTGCAATTAACAATATAAAACACTTTATTTCTCACTGTTACGTGTTACTTAACATGGCGAGGTTTTTACAAGGCAACGCACGTATGAACTTACGTTATCACAGATTTCAGGAGACTATCGACGATAAGTAGACATAGAAAAATGAAATAACTCACGTAGTATTAATTAAAAACATTATTTTTATTAAATAGATAACATAAAGGCGATATCTGTTTAAAATTAGTAAATTAAAATACGTATCGACGTGTGGAGATTTCAGTGACAACAAAATGGCGTTGATATTTACGACCTAAGAACAACTTTGGTTGCCTGACGGTGGTCGGAAGAGGGAAATTAAAAAAAAAGTTGGTGTGGTCTATTATCACTAGCGATGTAACTATCCAAAATTTTAATAACTTAATTATCCGGCTATTTATAGTATAATAGCCGGCTAAATAGCCAGATATTAAGCTATCAGCTAAAATACGAAAGACTCATTACAATCGATCCTATAGCGTGTTGCTTAGCGTTAGCTATTTAGTAAATAACTACCTAGCTGCATTACATCAAGTTCAATTCTCAACGTAGTAACATGATAAATAATGCGATTGTGTTTTTTGATTTCTTTATTTATTTATTTATTTATTTTGTGATACATAGGTAACAAAGGATGGTAAAACAATATAAGTCCTCTATGATCAACCCCATCTATCGAGGTATACATATTTACAATTACATAAGAAAAATAATATATTATATAAAAAGAAAAATCAGCAATTTATAGTAAAAAAATATAATTATGGAACTTTATTACATTTATCTTCAAGGAAATCGTCAATTGAATAGTATGTTCTGTTTACTAGGTATTCATACAGTTTAGTTTTATATTTTTTTATGTCATCTATGTCTGTGAGGGATTTAGGTAATTTATTATATATTCTAGGTGCCATCCCTAAGACACTTTTAGTAAATAATGTCGTTCTATGTTGTTTTGAAATGATTTTGTGGTGTTGTCTATTATTTTTTAATTTGATATATTAATTTAAATTATTTTTAACAAATAACGCCAGCTCAAAAATGTATAACGCAGGTAATGTCAATATGTTGTGTTTTTTGAATAGAGGCTTACAGCTGTCTACCGATTTAATATTGCAAGCTACCCTTAGACATCTCTTTTGAGCTTTAAAAGCAAGGTTTCGGTCAGTAGAATTGCCCCAGAAAATTATACCATAGCGTATTGTTGAGGTTACTTAAGCATGGTAAGCCAGTAGTACTGTATTTTGGTTAACTTCTTTATTTAGTTTATATAGTACAAATACGTACTGACTTAATTTGCTACATATTTTGTTAATGTGTATTTTCCACGTCATTTTATTATCTATCCACAGTCCCAGAAATTTTGTCGTGTTCGTTTCATCTATTTTTTGTCCAGCATATTGAATTTCAAGTTTATTACGTTCTATTCTTTGTTCAAATGTCATAATTTTAGTTTTTCCTATATTAATTTTTAAATTATTGTCAACTAACCATTGTATAATCTCTTTTATAGTGTTGTTTATTTCCGATTTAAAATTGTTTAGGTTCTTGGCACTGAATAGTATAGTACTATCATCCGCAAATAATACTATTGGATAGTTTATGACTTTAGGCATATCATTGATATATATTAAAAACAACAATGGTCCCAAAATACTACCTTGAGGAACGCCGAAATGAATATCCTTTTGTTCTGAATAACTTTTGTACTTCATAATTTTTGTACGTCTACATATATAATTTACACATGTGATTTGTTTTCTGTGAGTTAGATATGATTTTATTAAATCTAGAGCACTACCTCTTATGCCACACTTGTATAATTTTTCTATGAGAATCGTATGATCTACATGGTCAAATGCCTTTGACATGTCCATGTATATTGCTGACACTGGATTTTTTCTATCCATATTTATAACAATATTTTCGACAAGGTCATGGATGGCCATATTAATATTTTTGTTTTTTCTGAAACCATATTGTTCATTGACAAAGATGCAATTTTTTTCACAAAAGTTATAGATAGTATTATAAATAATCCTCTCAAAAATCTTTTCAAATATTGTAATAAGTGCAATGGGCCTATAATTGTTAACATCATATTTTTTCCCCGTTTCATAGATGGGTTTTATTAAAGATATTTTCAGTTTGTCTGGAAATATACCTTGCTCTATTGATAAATTTATTATATGACTTAAGACTGGAGCTATATTATCAGCAACCAGTTTTATAACGCTAGTGGCAATTCCATCGTAACCTGAACTATTCGTATTTTTTAAATTATTTATTATTTTAATAATGTCGTCTGGTACCGTAGGATGAATAAAAATTGAATTTATAATACTATTTATTTTTTATTTTTTTATTCAAGAAACTGCTTTGTAGTCAATATTATGTTAGGTATATTCATTAGTAAACAATTTCTTAACTTTGTTCATAGTGGTGCCACCTATGTAATGAGTTAAGAAGTTCTAGCTATATCAACGATAATCGAACAGACCATCTCAAAGTTTAGGTTCATAAATTATAGATATCGCTAACTCTTGTTGATAAAATGAATTTTGATAATATTCATCGATGGCATTGCTACTAAAGTAAAAATTATTTTCTATTAATAAATATGTATCATATAAAGGTAGTAGTGACTATAATATAGCACTTTGCAAGAAAAATTAAATAAAAAAAAATAGCATATTGGATTATCTAATTTATTTGTAACTGCGGTAAGTTATTCAACTAATAAGTTAACTGCAAGCATACGCTTTTGGTTTGGATGTTTATTGCCACGATAGCTACCCTGGCTGTCAGTAGTCGATAGCCGTGGTAGTTACTGTATCTGCCGTAGCCGGTGGGTAAACGTAGTTATTGCCAGTTGACGGTTAATCGTCGCTGCGCTATAACGTGCCAGGCACCCGAGAATGGCTATAACCAATAGCTGTCTATGTCGACAACAGATAACCTAGCCGCGGCTATTCATTACATAAATGCTATACAGCTGGGTATTGGGTATAGTTACCAATTTATCAAGATTTCGGGCTATATAATTAAAAAATAAAAAAAGAAAAATATTTTTTTTTTTCTTTGATAAAATTAACACAACCAATAATAGGCTCGATGAAATTTCAACTTGATATCACAATGAAATCATTATATTGAGGACCATTATGAACTAAATTTCTAATAGATGAACGTTAAAATTATTTTCAATTTAATTTATGATGGTCCATAAAACAATAGTTTCATGAATTTATCAAGTTAAAATCATAAACTTAGTATACTGTACTACGTATTTTTATTTTTTGTCTCGTGCATTACTAATCTATATACTTTATAACCTAAGGTTCTATCAGAGCGAGATAGACAAATAGGATATTTATCTACAATATAAGCTCGAAGCTGGCGGGAGTAGGAACAAGTTTTAATTAGTTTTTAGTTAATTAAGTGTACCTGGTTATAACATAAATTTGAAAAAAATAACCACAAAATTGCACATTATTCACGCAATTACGTCATAAACAATTATCTCTTTAAATGCAATGTTTTAGAACCATCATAAATATTTTGTATAAGAATTGGTTAATAAAATATATGTCTGATTCAATTCAAATAAAATTCTTAACGTCCAAGAATTGAAATCAAAATTGTAACAAATTTTAAGAAATTAAAGGGAACAGAAATGTAACAGATTTAAAATAGAATATTAGTACATATATTTGTAGTAAAAGTAATTTTTGTTTTAACAGAACATTAACAAAACTAGTTGCTAGGTATACACTTTATCTATATAAAGATGAGCACTATTTTTGTAACTCAATTCCACATAATCTGATATTATCACATGCAAACATTTATCAATCACGCACAGTACTGTAAACTTTTTCTTGTTCCATTTTCGAAATTCCATTGCCAGTCTGTTAGTACCTATATATATAATACTACGTTTACGAGAGAAAATAGTATTTTGTTTTTATGAGAATTTATGTGAAAATGTTATACGGCTATATAACCCTACCAAATTCAGATACAACCTGCTTGCATACTTTCTACATAAACTGTATCAAATATATAAACTAGAAATGGAAATTGTTATTGACAATTAATTGACATATCAAACATTTTTTATACACTAAGCTGCTATGAATTGTCAAAAAATAGCAACTGATAGTGAATCTTCCGTCCTTTTTTTACTAATTATATTTGCATAAGAAGAAAGGAGGCAATCATATGATTTCCTGTTATGTAATTCCTTGTTCTTAGTTACATAGAAGGTATGATAAAATAAAAATAATTAACCGCATATGGCAACTTTGAGTCAACTCAGAGTACTTTTATTGCTATTTTCTTACGTTCTTAAAGAATAAATAAAAAAATATATCTAAATGTTTGTTCATAATATACCAATTAAGAATATTTAGTTATTTACCAAATTGAGCTTATACCAATTTATAGCGTATATATCCTTATTATCAAGATGTCTAACGTAAATACAGGACAGTTATTAAATTTTCAAGATTATTCTCCTGAGCATAATGACCGGAGTGCAAGAATCGACGTGGAGGCGGTGCATACGAATCAATATAGTAATTCTATGTCAAACCCTAATTACGATTACGAAGAACCCAAAATTGCAGAGGAAACGGAGGCAGCCCCACAAAGTTAGTTATTTACCTCTGTCGCATCAATTGGGTGTATACATTTATGGCCTAAATAAAGGCAAAATTTTCGTCAACGTCCTGATACAAAGAAAATACTTCTGCCTCGGAAGAGGAGGCATGACAGTGCCTGCTACTACAGTCTACTCGTGACCATGGCTAGCTAGTGTAACCTGGCTCAAATATCGTTATAAGACAAGGAAATTATAATAGTTTGCCTAAGAGTTCACATTAATTCCCATCTCCTCTAAGGCTATTTACTGACTCAACTTTTATAAACCATGCAAAGTGAAAGTCTTAACATCATGATTTTTATCGATTTTGAGTTTTGTATGACAACTCATATTAACTTATCTATAACTGTTATATCTACTTATATAAATCATATGTTAGTGTTTTTTTTAATATAGTATATGAATGTCTGTGCAATCTTGTATTTTAAAACCCCTTCTCAATTGTTGTCTACCTTTTGTAAATATAACCTTTATCAAAGTCAATATAGATTAATGTTTTCTAGAAACTGTGAGCATATTCAAAATTATTTTCCAATGAGTGAGGTCTGGCTTCTTAGATAGGTACAGAAGTATGTATGTATGGCAGCTGATAGGGATTTGTGTAAGAAGTAGACATACTGCACCAACCTTAAATGGAGAAAAGGCAAGCCAATGATGATGATGAATGAGGTACTGTAGGACTTATCTTTATTCACAGCTAAAAGCTCCGCTCACAACTTGAGGTGTGAACCCACAAATTTTGGGGTGGATACCAAATTTAATTCAAATCTATTCCATTGTTACAAATATCTTTATAAACTTTATTTACAATATTAAAAAGATAGTAAGCAATTAACTTACTATAGTTTTGTTCTTTCAATCTCATATCTTTATATGTACTTTGCTTACAGGCAACCATAACTTCTGGACCATAGAGTATTATCAGAAGTACTTTGATGTGCAGACCAGTGATGTAGTGGAGCGGATCATATCCTCAGTACTACCACAAAAAGTGACACCAAACTATTTTGATGAAAGGATTAAGGGAAAGCCAGATTTGTACGGCCCCATATGGATATCTGTTACCTTGGTAATTATTTTTGTAGACACTCAGTACTTGAGTTTTATGTATGCTACATTCTTATTCACAATCAACATTGCAATTTGGCTTAAAATGTACAATGTAAATCTGTAGTTCATGAGCTCAGCATGCCATTGGATTGATAGATATGAGAGGGGGAGGGGTCATTATTTAAAATTATGTTCTTCCCATCAAACAAGAAGTTTATGGATACATTGGAATTTTTTTCCCATTCTTATCCATAAATGTCTTGTCTTATTGCCTGTCTGCTACACATTTACATTAAAATTATTAAAAAAAAATCTCTAATATTTTAGTACATTTTTCTTAGTAACTTGTTACTAGCACCATATATAATCAAATAGAAACCCATTAGTACCTATATTTTTTATTTGTCATTGGATTCACTGTTGTTTTTTTAAGGGAACTCTCTCAGGTTTTAGTTGGTAGGATTTAGTGAGCAGCTATATGCTCTCCACCACCCACCTTCATAATAGATTTCTGCAATGTAATTTGCTATTAATAATATTAATACTGTATTATAACAAGTATTTTTGTACTCTTTTCAGATCTTCACAATAGCAGTAAGTGGCAATATAGCGAGTTATTTAAATAATGCTAACAAGACAGTTCACTGGCGATATGACTTCCATATTGTGTCATACGCTGCCACTGCGATATTTTGTTATGTGTGGGTTGTGCCCCTGGCACTGTGGGCGGCTCTCAAGTGGTCCACCATAGCCAATAGTCAAGATGAGATGGAGACACAGGTGAGTACTAGTATTATATTTATAGTATTAGAGTTATAGTATTTAAGGTAGAAAACAACACATATTTAATTTTTACAAAAGCATCTTGCTTAATAGAATCCATTGAATACAAATTAGGAAAATAGAAAAAAACATGCAAAGCCACCTATACTGTCTCCTCGACCAATTTGGATTATTATCAGTGTTTACTCTTATCTGAGAGTTAGTGGGAAATTTTAATAAACATTGTTTTTACTATTGGCTAGATATTTAAGGTCTGTGAATCATGGTAGTATACTACTAGGCCATGTAATAAGAACTTTATAATCAAAAGTAAATTGTAATTTTCCTTTTATATAAAATATTTTTCAGTATTTTCTTTTTTAATATTTATTTCAGGAAGCAAATACACCAACAATGATGTCCCTGTTCTGTCTATATGGCTACTCACTTGCAATATACGTTCCTGTAGCTATCCTGTGGACCATCCAAGTCTATTGGCTGCAGTGGCTGTTTGTCATTGTAGCAGCGTTCGTCTCCGGAGCTGTCCTTATATTCTGGCTGATGCCAGCGTTGAGAAAGTCCAGATACTTTCCTATACTTATTGGGTGTATACTAGGCCTGCATTTCCTTTTGGCTGCTGGCTTCATGTCCTATTTCTTCCATAGCCCTGGCTCTGGAGGAATCACACCTTTGCAACCAGTGATTACATCAACCAGAGCTCCTGTGTAATTACTTGTGATAGAATTGTATAAATTATGTGACTTTTATATGGTATTATTATTGTGAATTTTTAGTCATTGTGTGAAATGTTGGTGAAATTAAATTACTTCTTTATTAAAAATAAATTATAACAATGTAATTTTTGTGTACAATAAAAAATATATGTTAATTGTATAATATGAAAAATAATTTAAATTTACTAAATGATGGTGAATTTATCAATCTTAGTTTTGTAGTCGATCTATTTATATATGCATTATGCACCGGCTATGGATGTATAAAAAAAAGTTATATTTGTTTTTTGTAAATGTTTCAATTCCACCATTTTTATCAGTTAATATACTCTGGAATTTATCACTGAATACATTGATTTTTTTTGGATCTATGTTATAATTACAAGTATATTCTTAATTAATTAATTGTTTATCCTCCTTTTCATCCAAAGGTTGCCTGGAAGAGATCGCTCTTAGCGATAAGGTCGCCCATTGTTTTCTCATTGTGATTATTTCTTGTAATTATTTATATTTATAATAAGTTTACTATTGTAATATTTTGGAGGAAACAATAAAGCGTATCTATCTATCTATATTCTCAACAGAACATGTTTAATATAAAAATCGAAATAGAGGAAATGGTGGCAAATTATCTTATGCCTTAAAAATGGCAACACATGCACTTCATAGTACATTCTATAATATCAAAGGCGCTGTTCATGTTTTTAGATCACTATTACCATTTTCAAAGTTCTATAAAAAAGTAGGTTCTAAACAAAAATGATTAATTGACATGATGTGTTAAAGTTATTTGCATTAAATGATTTATTTATGATGATTATGAATTAAATGATTATTTAACATTCCGAAAACACTGTATTTATTAGTTGTTCTAATGTGTTGTATAAATAAAAGTTTTTGTATAATTTAAAATTGACTTTTTATTGTACTGAGTTTATGGTGCGAATGGAAGGTACAAAATTAATCGATTTCTAATTATATTTAATTATTAATTAGAGTTAAAACTATATAAATATATATTTACATATATTATTCTGTATTAAAACATTATCAAAGCTTAACTGCGGTTGCCAATCCGACTGGCAAGCGTTAGCAACTACTGGCAAACCCTTTCAATAAAGAAATTTCTATATTCAGCACTGGATACGTAACTACTACATCTATAGATATGATGATATATTTTATTACATTTTGTACATGTACACTATATATACATGTTAATAATTGCATAGAATAATAGAAAAAAAAACTCAATTTCATTTCTTGTTTTTTGGTAAGGGACTAAAGTATAGGCCTGTATTTAAAGGACCACATTTTCATACGAATTTTAGTGCAATATCACACAAAGGATTAATTAAAAATATCCGGAATAGAATCATAAATGTTACGTATTTCCTGATAATCTTCGCAAGATGCATGTCTTTCTTAAATGACGAAAGATTAAAAAGGATAAAGTTTTAAAAACTATATGTTATGTCCATGGTACTGCTCATGTCTATAGGCGACGGTTACCACTTTGCATCAGGTGGGCCGTCAGCTTGTTTGCCACTCTAAGTTGTATAAAAAATATATATATATATATATATATATCTCATAGAATACTAATAATATGTATTTAATATGTTCTTGTCTGATTTCTCTATAAACATTACATTGTTTTACCCGCTTTTGATGCAAGTGTTGGTCCCATATTTTGTCACGATTACAATAAACACCATTGGACATATTTGCAGCGCTGTCTAGTCCTATAGATACTAGATTAAATGAGGCACAATATACAATACTAGTATAGTATTGTATTGTCTGTGCTTATGTAGTTATTTATTATTTCTCAAACATGCTTGGAAATGGGAGCATTATTTTGACAATCTTCTTAGAGATAAATCAAATTTGCCGTACTGGCCAGATACATGCGGGCAGCGGCCGGCAAAAGTTGTATGAAAATCCATATCTGTCGTGTTTTGCGGCCAGATAAATTACTATGTAAACTCATATCTGTCCTGTAATTTAAAAATGGAATGAACTTTTACTTCGAAACACGGCTACCTCCTTGGTAACTAATAAAAAGTTTTTTTTTTAAATTTCGAACTGGTTTGCTACTAGAAAGCTATTTATTGAAAAAACAAAGGAACATTATGGCGCGTGTAAAATTATTATTGTTCGTTATTCGTCATTGAACTTAAAAAGTAAAATTGTGTTTTTGATTTCCGCGCATTGTTTGAGAAAAGTACTATACAAGCCTTGGCCACAACTAGGCATTGATGGACTCACGTATGTGTTCCTCGGCTACGCCTCACTCACATTTGCACGTTCGTCCATCAATGCCTCATTTGCTGGCCACTGCAGTAATGTACTAATATCATAAAAAGAACAAGAGCATTACCAGCCAATGAAGATTTTTTACGGATGATAATGGAATTGTAACCCCGCCTGCGCTGTAGATATGTGCTGGTGGGGCACCAATGATAGATGAAAGATGAAGATAAAAGCAGGTTAGATAGTCTATTGTGACTAATGCCACAAGCCAATGAAGATTTGAAAGATGACCACGCCTCACCGAAAGGAGAGCGCTTAAACCCAGTCACCCTAGGGTAGTTGCCCTCGGAAGGCGGGGTAAAGGGGTATTCCCGCGGCCCCCACCGTCCCTCCCCCCATGATGTGACGATGATGCTTAATTTCGAACTAGATGGCGCTATTTCATATATCCAGCAGTACTTATTATTTATTTTATGTTCCATTTTAACAGACATAATGCCGAGGTTTATCCTTTAAAAGGACAATATCACAGCAGAATAAGCTTATCCTAAACTAGAGTATGTACATTATTTACAAAATAAACAGTTCAGTCGGCCAGTGAGAAGTTTTTGAAACTGTTCAGCCACGCTTGTCTGTGGAACGACGAGGGCATGTCTTCAGGAGACGACTGGAACATACCAGCTAACTCTGACAACATGTTTCCTGTAATGAATATATACACACATATATTGTTACATCATAAATTAATACAGTTACACTATTGTTTGCTGTCGTCGTTCGTGATGTCACGTATGGGCACCACAGAATATCAGCGCTGTAGCAATTAAATTGCTGCAGCACATGCTGAGTGGTGACCACGTTGGCAATAATAAATGTAAAGTTTTTTTTTTTAATTCATAATGTATGTAACTTTTTGTTGTTGTCAATAAATGTTTTCTTTCTTTCTTTCTTTCTTATTGTATTTTTTTTCTATGGGTGTTAATAGAACGGTAACCCCGTCCGCGCTACCGGTATACGCTGGTGGGGCATCAGTGAGGGATGACAGGTGACGATGAAGCAGGGCAGTTAGCCCATCGTGACGAATTCCATTAGAATTAACCACGATGGTTTCCAGGGGGAACCGCGTGGCAGGTCGACATGACAGGCAATGGGTCAATTACACCCACTACTAACAACAAAAAAACTTTACAATTAGCTTATTGAGAAATGTTTTTATTCACTTGAAGACTATTTTAATGGAAAATTTTAGAAACAAATTTTAAATAAAATATTTGCAATCATACGGCCGACCTGATGGTGAGCGGTTACCGTAGCCTATGAACGCCTGCAATACCAGAGGTATTACGCGGGCGTTGCCGACCCCGAAGAAACCTGTTTACCCCCCTTTGAAGAACCTCATGCTGTAGTCTCTTGGGAAAACCTCGGCAGGGAGCTCATTCCATAACCCGAGTGTTCATAGGAGAAAACATCTCTGAAACCGCGTTGTACGCGACCATTTAGGCTGTAAGGTATGAGGGTGAACTCCCTGTCGATGGCGAGCCGTACGATGGTGCAAACACAACTGCTTCACGGTAGAAACACGAATAAGACAAAGGTACCCAAGCAATCGACTTTTGTACAAAGTTCCCTCTCACGTCGACCCATAGGGATCTTTCGTGCTTCCCCCTGCTGTATGCTATCATTTCATAGATCCTATGTGTTACCTTAACGACATCCCACGGTTTAAGATATATATATATATATATATATATATATATATATATATATATATATATATATATATAGTAATGATACAAACAACTTACCATGTATTTCGCTGTGGTCGTATTCCTTCAATATCTCGCAGAAATCAATGAGATGTCCCTCGTTGTATGACAATTGTGAGGCGAACTCCACATCTCGCAGCGTACACTGGTACAACACCTGCAGCCCACAGCGGCACACTGCTGTAAGTTCTTGGTTCACGGTGTTCGATACTGGAAATATTTATTTATTTCTTATTGCATTCCATAATATACTTAGTAGATAACATTTCAATTATGGGCCCTGTTGGGCACAGCAAGTAGGAGAGAGGAGGACAACACTTTTTTCACTTTAGTCTAAGAAACTGTTACAATATTATCCAGTCATTGAAATTGTATCACGATACGTACGTATTTTAGTAATATGCAACTTGAAATGTAAAACAAACTCTTGGTTCCTCCTCTCCTCGAAGGGGTCGAAGGACGTGCAAGGGTTCACAATAGCGCAAAAAAGCGCCATTGTGTTTCTAAAAGTTTTTTTTTTGGTAGAATTGGTATTAACGTCATTGAGCATCCGTAGGCCTATCGTGGTGGTCGCAGTGGGGGTGGTGGACGTTTGTATCACCGAGGAGTATTTGCACGTCACCACATATTAGGTTCTATATCCGTTAAAGTTCCGATTGCTAATTACTAATTGAGGGTGGCAACATCAACACAGGTTTTATGGCCAATGATTATAGTATATTGAATATGTTTGCTTTGAAAAATTAATGTCATTGGGGGTCTTTTGAGAGACCATTTCAATTTAAATTTGATATTACAATGTAATTTTTATTTTAAGAACCAATATGACCTTAATTTGTAATAGAATTAAGCTTTTTTTTTAAATGGATGATAATAGAATGGTAACCCCATCTGCGTTAACAGTATACGCTGGCGGGGCACCAGTGAGGGATGATAAGTGACAATAAAAAGGTAGGTCAGTTAGCCTATCGTGATGAATTCACTTGAAACAGAACACGATAGTTTACCAGGGGAAACCGCAAGGAGGTCGACCTGACAGGATGTATTGCTAACAAAGGGGCTACTAATCCCTTGTTTTATAAACCATTTTCCCCCCAGAATAGATTTAATTTAAAATGATGATAAATTTAGTTAATAACGGGATTTTGTGTGAATTTACAGGGTACAGAGGAATAACACCTGAGTCCTCAGGAATGGCAACGCATGGAGGGCATCATGGGCGAAACAGTATACTCTGTTACGTCTATGGTACTGCTCATGTCTATAGGCGACGGTTACCACTTTCCATCAGGTGGGCCGTCAGCTTGTTTGCCATTCTAAGTCGTATAAAAAAATCATCATATAAAACAATAAATTCGCGTGTAATTATTAAGTTAAAATATCAAGTCAAGAGATAAGTTTAGAGAAATCACGATCCAGTGTAAGAAGTTGTGTTCAGTTATATTGAAATAAAGTTTTATTTTCGAATTTTTATTTGTAGATGTAATGGAATGGACTGTTTATGAGTTTGTTATAGTAGATACCTATCAAATATTACGACACACCCTCAACGGCGATCGGATCGGACCACCTGGCATGACGCAAGAAGGTGCGCTACCGAGAAAGACACCTGCATCCAGTCAGCATTTCAATTCCCGCAGCAAAAATACCCATTTCCTTTATGTTTGATTTTATATGACTTCACTTACACATCGATCTGAAGACACTTATTATTTTAATAATTTTAGAATTAAATTTAGTTATATTTATAAAATTGGTTTTTTTGTTTGGGTCTTCCGCCAGCGACTTCAATAACTAGTTCTTACAATGCCGATAAACTTACCATTCGATTCATTATCCTTCAACATCACAGCGCATATACGTAATCCGTATACGAGGACTTGCAACAGGACTAGCTGGCAATCACATCTGAAAATTTATATTACACTACATTTAATTACTTTGAGAGGTTTGTTTTAATCGAAGCATTTGGCGTTCCATTGTTTCTGCCTACCCTAATGGGAGACAGGCGTGACAGATATGTATGTATGTATGTATTTAATTACTTTTTCTATTCGTAAACTAGCTAAATTCCGCGGTTTCGCCAGCTTGAACCAATACTATATATTTGATTTTGTTATTGATTGATATTGGTACTTGTTCACATGTTCCAAATTTCATTCAAATCTGTTCAGTAGTTTTTGCATGAAAGAGTAACAACCAAATATCCATCCATAGATTCATCCATTCTTACCTTTTTTTTTTTTAAATAACTTCTTTGACCAAAAGAGAATGTGGTACAAAATGCGAACTTAATACTAATAGCAATCTTGACCAATCAACCTTTGGCAACTTTCGCATTTATCACTCACTACATAGTATAAAACAAAGTAGCTCCCCGTCTGTCTGTCCCTATGTATGCTTAGATCTTTAAAACTACGCAACGGATTATGATGCAGTTTTTTTTTTTAATAGACAGAGTGATTCAAGAGGAAGGTTTATATGTATAAAACATGCATAATATAGAAGAGGAACACTGATAATTTTAGAGGATTCTAATGTAATGAGAGGCCAGTGGCGATATTTAGTATCAGCATTGCACACGTGCGAAGTCGGGGCGGGTCGCTAGTAATGTTAATAAGATTATGTAAATAATTATAACTTCATGAAATTAGATTCAATATGAATACAATTTCATAAAACTACAATTGAACGACTTTAGAATTGTCACTATTTAAGGACGAGAATACAAGATTTAAAAAACTGAATAGTTCTAATGCTTCTTGAGATTTTCATTACTAGATTCGAGCTATAGTTTTATAATAATACTATACCTAGATTTTTCAGGTACTTCGACAATGTTTTGACCATTTAAACTGCTATAAATACCAACAAGGTACTGTGTCGTCCTTACAGTTTGTTGTATTAAGTTTTGTTTCTCCATACATTTCAGGCACGCTTCAATCTGTTTTAAAAGTACTTGTAAGTAGCATGAATCTGTGAAGATAACGTTTTTAAACATTACAAACATACAGTGACAAAAAAATAAATATTTATTTATAAAAATAATTATAAATATATTATTAGTGCTGTATCCACTGACATTGATGCTCCTTTCTACTTTGGGTGTTGCTGGAAGAGAACTCTATTAGAGTTAAGCTCGCCTTTGTACTTTAATTACCTCTGTCATATACTTAAAACTAGTGTGTACAATAAAGAATTAAATAAATAAATAAATAAATAAAAAATAAAATTTATTTATTTATAAAATTTATGTAAAATTTACATAGTTATAAACTATATTAAATGAAGATGTACAACAGGCGAGTTTAACTCTGTAAGAGTTCTCTTCCAGCAAACCCTGAGTGGTAAGGAGTATCAATTACCAATATAGTTAATATACTTTTTTTTTTTTTTATAGAAACGGAGGCACAGGAGCCTACAGACATGAGCAGTACCATGGACATAACAGTATATACTGTTTCGCCCAAGACACCTCCTATGCGTTGCCATTCTTGAGTACTCAGGTGTTATTCCTCTGTACCCTGTAAATTCACGCCATATCGCACCCTTCAAACCGAAACACAGCTACGCAAACACAACTACTTCACAGTAGAAACACGAATGGAACAGAGGTACCCAAGCAAACGACTTTTGTACAAAGTCACCCTTTGGTAAATTATTATTATTATTATTACATACAAACCTTTTTTATACAGTAACACCCCTTGGTCGTAATCCAACCTCAGGTTACCACCACTGCCTCCTGGGCAGTAAGCGTGCGGGAAGTTCCCTATATGCACCACATTCCTCAGCACTGCCAAAATCTGACAAGCGACGAAAGGCATCGGCCGGGATGCTATTATACTTTTTAATATATCCAATATTTTATTATCACATTTTGAGTTCTCTATGAACATTGTTATTGATAGTAATAATCCACTGTACAAAACAGCACACGACTGAAAAAGAGTTAATTAAGAGATGTAACAGACAGAAGAGATGTTACAGCTATAAATAATACGCGGGAGTAGCAACAGTATCCTGAACATGTTTCTTAATAAATAAGACAGTCCTCTCGTGAGAATGCTCGCCGAGAGGACTAGATCATTATTAGTGATTAAGTATTAACATAGTTTTTAAGTACACTTACTAACAAAAATGGATCCAAGATATCTAAACATAAATAAATAAATAAATATAAGTGTTATAATAAATTTATGTTCTTTATATAGATAGATAGATAGATAAACACTTTATTGTTTAAGTAAAATAATGACTCAACGATACCTATCTAATTTATTTAATTAATTAATTTAATTTTATTTAATTTGTTTCTAATGGAATAAATTTAAATAGTTAAAGATAAAAAATTTCCTTAAGATCACTGCCAGCTGGTAGGGTACCTAGGAGACTTGGTGTATTTCCACGCTGAATAGCTATGGAAATGCGTTGACCAAAGTATAGGCCAGCCTTCCGGTCACCAGAGGTTTCCACCAGCCGGCGCGAAATCTCTTTGGAAAGATTCATGGCCTCGGGGCCCCACGGACCCAGAGTTTCAACTCCAAATATATATCCATTTCCAAGGGATGATTATTTACGGCGCTTGATACTTTATTTCATTCATTAATTTACACACGTAAATTAATGAATGAGTTCATACAATCGGATTATTTACACTTTTTTAAATATAAAACAAAAGATAAAGTATGGTAATATGTTTTCACCAAGTGTGTCGCAGTGACCCAAATAGGCTACAGCTCAGTGACAGTTTTGCTTAAAAGCAAAGCACTGATTTTCAGTTGCAGCCTGAAGTTAGGCTATTAGAAGTGTAACCAATTTAACAGCCAAAGATAAAATTGTATTATATAGATACATACTTACATAAATGATGCATAAATAATATATTTCATTAATTAATTAAACATACAGTATAAATAATTCACCACAATAATTATTATGTTGAAAGCAAATATATATATATAATATATGATTAACGGTTCTTTTTTTACAACTGTTTTACTATTAATTGCCGGTATGCCAGTTCTAGAGATTTTTAACTAGTTATTTTATTTCATATCAGCCTTTAACTGTCCACTGCTGAACAGTTTCCCCCCAAAAAGGGAGGTTTTACCAGTAGTTGCAACACTTGGCAGGCGGTTTGGCGACCGCAGTTTGGCTTTTGGTTTTGTTTTAAGAGGGACACTGCTGCCCATCCTTCGACTATGAGCTCCCTTAGTCGCATTTTACTACACTCACAAGAAAGGTAGGCCTATTCTATCCCGGGACATATAGGGGGGAAAGGGATTGTTAGTAATGGAGACTGAGAATCCCATTGCTAGCAATATACCCAACCAGGTCGACCTCCACGCGGTTCTTCCTCGAAACTATCATGGTTAATTTCTGATGAATGCATCATGATGGGCTAACTGGCCTGTTTTCATTCTCATCTATCACCCTTCACTGGTGCCTTGCCAGCGTATCCCGTTAGCGCAGGCGGGGTTACCATACCATTTTCACCCATTAAAAAAAAAATATCCCGGGATATACACAGCTCATTTTAATAATACATTCAACGAATGATATAACATGTTTTTTTATGCAACTGAATTGTAAACAAGCTGACGGCTTACTTGATGCAAAGTGGTGACCGTTGCCTATAGACACGAGCAGTACATGGTCCATGGACATAACAGAGTGTACTGTGAACACAAAATAAATTATTATGGTATTTACTTACTGTACCATCAAGCAGGTTACATATCCTGCTGATGATGTCAATAAATTGTTTCTCGTTTCCATTATTTTGTTCGAAACTTCTTAATATATCTGCACCCTTAGGCGATTGTAATATAGAAACTAAAGTTGCAGTCATTCTTCTAGCTAATACACCTTGTTCTTCTTTATACAGGTTTCTGGAATGATTAAAGAATACTCAGATCCGGCTCGAAGGACCAACATATTCGGGCTGGTTTATTATTATTAAATAAATTGAATAGGTTACTCTAACGGTTTAAAATAATAGTTAAACTGTTCAGTTTTATTTAGTAATTACTTCGCAGAAGGTCGGCGATAAAAGATTCGACAGAAATGTAGCGATACTCTATCTATGGAAAACTAGTGTTCTTACCTTGCCTGTAATAAATCTTTATATTCAACACAGAGGTACGATGACGTAGACTCGATGTATTTCTCGTCCATTTCCTTTTGAAAAGCGGTTGTCATTCTTCGTGAAATTGTCGCTAGTTCGGTCTCGATTTCTGACAGTACTACTTTAACTGTTTTGAATATCTAAAATATATAAAAAAAAATTATAAGAAATACATTACAGAGTCTAGGTAGACATGATATAATTATGTAATATATACATTTTTAACAAAGGCAAGTGCCTTTCTATGCACATAAAATATTTACACAATATTGTATGCTTCAAAATGTCTAAATCCCATTTTATAAAAATTTAGCTTAATTAATATAATCATAGATATATTTATACTTGGTAGGATTTCAGTTTATTATTGTCTATGATCTAAAAAAAACTACTTGTTTCTGATTTCTTTCGCCTCATACATAGTATAAGCGAGCAAGCATGATTGTATATTAAAATTCAGTTATTATATTCAGATATTTGTTCAGTCATGTAGATACAAGTATACTTTTTCCTCATATTTATGAGAAAAAAGACATTTTAAAATTAAAATAATTGGGATAATATAGTGAAATTATATTAGATCCTTGGATGGACACCTTTATGTTTATTAGTGACAGATGTAATTTTTAAAGATTACATCTTATTACTTACATTAAAGTATTTTTCTGTAAAATTTTCCATATTATCTGTAGCTATGCATGTCAGGTCTTCATAAATACTCGACATAGATACTTTATTTTTGTTAATTACTCTTCCTGAAATAGGTGTAGACGGTAGTCTATGGAATGTGCTGAAAATCCTGCATTTGTTCTGAGAGAAATCTGTTTGCCTTTGTAGTTTTTCATTGTAGTCTAATATGTTGAATTGTTGTTCCATAGATGTTTCTAAGATTAAAGGTAGGATATCGTTTAACCTTGATATTTCTGAAATTTATAAACATAATAAACATACCATAATGCCATATTTTAACATCTCAGAAATAGCCATAATAGCCATTGTACTGATACAAAGTCAGTCAATGTTGGAGCCATATGGGACCCAGCAGTAGACTATGAATGGTTAAATGAATATTGATGGTGAAAAAATATTATGAAAACTAATCAAAAACACTACTGCCATTGTCTAGTAAGTTATGCCAAAGGTCTTTATTAACATATACTCAATAATTTTTTACCTCAAAAGGGGCCACATTGGCAGTGTAGTTTCAAGAATCCTTGCTTAACCCATTGAATACGGAGAGCGCGCCAGGGCGCTGTCCAGTGTTATACGTTGTGACGGCGAGCGCCGGCGCCTCGAGGCGCTCTCCCCGCCCTCACCCAATGACGGCGAGCGCTCCGAGGCGCTCGGTTTCCTTTAGTTTCAAACGTGCTTTAGACCGTTCCAGTCACTTGTGGAAGCCCGTTATTTACTGGCAGTCACTCCTAACAATTAACTAAGCCATATACGTAGAAAAAGTTGTGCCGTCAGTGACGGCCGTTTATGAAAAACTAAGCCGTATACTGCATAGGGATCTCAATATGGCCGCCGTATTGAATGGGTTAACAGATTACAATTACCTTTTTTACAACTTTTGTAGAGCTTCAGGAAGTGGGCTTTGTTGTCAGTTTGTACACTGTTTGATATCATTTTAGCTCTTTTCATCTGTTGTGAGAATGTATCATTCATTAAGGTTGTGTTGTTATTGTTTTTATGACTGAAAATATTTGAAGAAAATAAATATTTATTATAATAAAAATTTATACATATTATAATTAGACTGTACCCAGATCATGTGCATGCATCATACTAGACAATGGATGGATATTGATAAAATTTGCTATGGTGATTTAGTAGCTGACTCAACATATAGGAAAGGAGAGAAAGGATTCTTAGTAACGAGGACTAGCAGACTTATTAGCTAGCAATATATGTACCCTGTCAGATCAACCTCCACATAACCAGGAAGAACACTGGAAAGCATCACACTTAATTCTTGTGAAATTCATCATGATAGCCCAACTGATCTGCTTCTATCCTCACCTATCATCTGTCACTGGTGGTCCACCAGAATATACCAATAGCACAGACAGTTGCTATTCCATTTTCATAAAACATAATTATTATATGAAATATTATAATTTTAAGCAGTTCTTTAAATGTTCAGCATATGCTGAGTGGCAGCCAAGTTGGCAAAAACAAATGTAAAGTTTTTTTCTATTGATAATTAATGTAACTCTTTTTGTTGTTAGGAATAAATGTTTTCTTTCTTTCTAAATATAATTTTATTTTATGTTACAAACCTTGTGAAGATGTCATTGTTACCAACAGTCACTTGTGTAAGTCTCACTTTATTATTCTCCAGTTTTTTACATTTTTCCTTTATGCTTATTATTTCTAAATTCTGTAAAATAATAAAAAAAATTGTGTTTCATACTATTGTAGCAGCTTAACACACTGTCTCATTATCCAATAATCCTCTGGCAATACAAATAATAAACACATATAATGATAATAATCATGAAGTGATTCATCCATAGCATACCTGACAGGATAAACTAACAACTTCTAAACTTTTTTAAATATATACTGGAATATCAGAACAGTGATATCTCCATTTAAAATATAATTGTTACCTGAACCAATATTATAAAAAGGAGACATTTAATTTTTTGTTTGTAATGAATAAACATGTGACAGTTTTAAAATTCTTTCATCATAGTAAGTCATGAGGGAGTAACATGGGTTGTATTTAATATAAAAAAGGGCTGTGGAAATCTAAGCATATCACACAAAATGAAATGGAAGTTCACCTTGAAATCTAGTTCTGTTCGTAAATCATGTATCTGAACATTAGCTGATGATAACTTCTCAGTCCAGTCAGCTTGAATTTTCTCCTGTGCCTTTACCTTCTCCAATCTAGCATTATCTACAGCTATCTGACAGGTTTTTAACTGAGTACGCAAGATAGAGGCTTCACCTTCTTTCGTTACACACTTTTCCAGCAATTTGCCATTCTCTGACTTTAACTTTGCATTTTCTTCTTGTAATTGAAATAGTTGGCGATAAAGATGATCAGAATCTTGTCCTTTATATACTTTGTAATCAAATATGTCTTCGGACGAGTTCTCATACTCATTGACTTTTGATGTAATTTTTGAAGATATACCAGGTAATGGGGAAGATATGGTGTTGCATTTGTTTCTGAGATGAGTGGACACAGCATTATGTATACAAGCACTAGGTGTCTTAAATTTAAATGCAGATTTAGATGTACTAGGAAGCTGATCACAGTTTTGAGTGCTAGTAGATTTTGGTTGCATACACATAGAATAGTCAGGCAAAGAACTGGTGTCATTACTGTATACCTGCTCGCAAGCTTGGCTCGCCAGGAGTAAGATTTCATCATCGTTATCATCGCCCCACGACTCCTGATTGTTATCTGTGGTAACATTAAAATAAAGTAACCTATAATATACTTTCCTAAACAAGAATGTTTTTAATGAAAATACTAGAAATGTCGTATAATTTAATTAATAATAAAATAAAAATACATAATATTACCTTTTTTAATAGGCGAGTTTTGACTCAATGGAAAATTATGATCAGATATTGTTATATCGAGTTTAGCTTTCTTTCGTTCTCCATGCTGCTGTGGGAAATTAAATCTTTTGGACATTTTAATTAATTATGATTTGTTCTTTATTCGGCATTATAAAGAAATATAAAAAAAATCAGAATAACTTTCAGGTTTATAGATAATAATAAAAACAATTATTTTCTATTTCCCGCTGTCTGACTGAATGAAAAGTCAGTGATAAAGGATAACAAAATAAATAAATATACTTAATCGCAGTTACTAAATTATTCTTAATCTATATAATTATGTACTTAGATAACTTTACTTTGCTTTATCTGTGCCGAACTCATCGCTCCCAAGTCTTTTCCCTATTGCGTTTCTAGAGTCCGGCCGTTCAGAGATTATGTATATCTGATAGGTCATGATCGAATGAGCGATGTAACTTCGAATTGGCGTACAATTTACGGCAAAATTTTAAATATCCTTTATTAACCTTAATAACGAGTAATATCATTAAAAATTAAATAATTATGCCAACTTACACTAAATGTATTGATTTTGGGCTAAAATTATTAACAATTAATTAACTAACAAATATAAAAACAACAGTTTTTAAAAGCCTAACTACGTCAAACTGCGTTACTTCAAAATTATAATATGTCGATTGTTTATTTTTATAGTGATGAGACAAAATAACGAGACAATTGTAATTGAATATATTATGTACTTAATACATATTTAATAAAGTTTATAATACGATACAGGTGCGCCCAAACAAACTTAAGAAAATAAATGTTGTGATACCAGTCAGATATTATATTTCAAGTAAAAAATGGCAACTTAAAATAGCATTGTGAGGACCGTCCTTTTGTGACATTCACAAAAAGTCGTCTCTTGTGTTTTACCGCGATATTTGTATAGATATTATGATCGACAATGACATGTTAATGAAGATAAAAGCGAGTCCTCAAGCCACCCATCGTGATAAATACATCTGGAATTCAGCACGATGGTTTCCAGGGGGAATTATGTACAGGTCGACCTGACATTATACCCCATATTGCTAGCAATATGACTGGTAGTCAGTATTACTAACTATCCCTTCATCCCAGTCGCATTTTTTTTGATGGGTGAAAATGGTATGGTAACCCCGCCTGCGCTAATGGGATACGCTGGCGGAGTACCAGTGAAGGGTGATAGATGAGAATGAAAACAAGCCATCATGATGAATTCATTAGGAATTAACCATGATAGTTGCCAGAGGGAACCGCGAAGAGGTCGACCTGGTTGGGTATATTGCTAGCAATGGGATTCTCAGTCTCCATTACTATCAATCCCTTCCCCCCCCCCCTCAAGTAAATTGGAGTCAGATTAAATTTTGATTTGACGTAATCTTCATTATTTAGGTTTTAAAACTATGTATTTTATTATATATTATACATTTTCCAATAAATACAGCATGTTTATTTTCTTTTCCTTCGTTACATTCAGAAATTACGATTCATTCATTAACAATTTTATTAACATTGCGTTTGAAATATGATTCCTATAAAAATAACAATATATATATTAATTTTAATAAATATGCATAATGAATGTAATAAATAACGTTACTAAATATTATTAATGTTATTTATGGTACATCACTAGTCATGACAAATTGACAGGAATCAAAAACGCAATCTTTGAGCGGCTAGACTATAGGACCAAGACCACAGATATATGATTGTATGTGACAGATGGAATTTCCTCGCTTAGATCAATCATAATACTTGCAGTTTCTCTCGTTACATTATTGCTGTTAAAAGTGATTGCTTATAGCAACAAATGACACTATTTGCGATCAAGTGATCAAAAAATAGAATTAATACATCATAGTAATTTTAGTTCTTTAATCGCTCTGACAAGGTACTACAAAACATTTCCTTCTAAGTTTCTTGTAGATAACACAAAAAAAGTTTAACAGATAAAAGTCGAGCAATTTTTGTTTTTACCAAACAATTTGTAACAGTTATATTTAATTTAAGCTGCTTTACTCTTTACAGATACTTGAAGCATAGATGAAGCATTTTATATCTTCCATCCATAAACAAATAACAAAGAGACGCTTAAATAATAGTTCTATATTTGTTTTCATTACTCTTTGGTTAGTTCGTTGTGGAAATTGAAACAGTAAACACGTGTATCATGTCGGTAGCCTATAAACTTGGTGATTTAGTTTGGTATGTAGTGAAAATTATGTTGTTACTATAGGTTTAACTAAGATTAACAACTATAAAATATATATAACTTGACATTTGTGTTTGTTTCAGGGCAAAAATGAAGGGCTTCAGCCCTTGGCCCGGCCGGGTAAGTGACTCTTCTATTAAATTTTACAATTAAACAGGTAAAAAAACGGTTAAATTACTTATATTTTCTGTAAAAGGTAATGAATGAAAATTAAATAATGTTCACCCCATTGTTTGTTGATAAAATGTGACGAATATAAACACTAATGATGGGCGGGAAATTCTTTATTGCGTTTTTTTTTTATTAGTTTATATATGCAAACCGATAAAATATGTCTTAAACGGTAATATAACTTAAATTAATATACTCCCATTATTTATTGTATACTCTTTACAAAGTAACCTAATTTCTGTTGATGATGGTGATTTCAGGTCGCCATCCCCACTCCTGAACTGAAGCCTCCCAAGAAGGCGACTAATGTGCAATGCATTTACTTCTTTGGAACTAATAACTAGTAAGTACTATTTGGGTCAATTTACTTGTTATACTATTTTACCACAACATGAAATTTGATGGGTATGGAGTGGATAAAGTAATATTATCATCATAATCTTTGAATGCCCCACAGCTGGGCATAGGTCTCACCTCATAAAAGCAAAAATTAGCCTATACTCTATAGGTTGTTAACATTGATCACTACAGGTTTTTAATTCGAGTGTTCTTCTTGTACTGATGTATTATTTGTTTGCTCCCGTATTCTGTGTTTAGTACCTTTATCTTGTTTGTCATTCTAACATAGGCTACTTTTCATACCATTCCCAATAAATTGATATATCCCATTCATGTTTATAAAGTTGCCTATAAAAACTAGCAATGTATTTATAACAACTTTGTGATACAATTATTTTTATATACAACATAATACAGCTTAGTTCTGGAACACTGAAACTGTCTATTGCCCACAGTGCATGGATTGAAGAGAATAACATCAAACCATATCACGAGTTCAAGGAGCAGCTGATCAAGTCGTCCAAGACTGTTGCTTTCAAAGACGCCGTTAATGAGATCGAGGAGTACATTGTGAACCCTGAGGTAAGTTTCCAGTATTGTATCTGGTGGTGTTGACAGAAAATTTCACTCTGTTCATCCAGTCATTTCAAAATAACAAGTTGTGTTTTAGAGACTTAGGTGAGGAGGATATTTTTAAAATAAAAAATGTAGGCATAATGAAAACTTCTTGTTTGAAGTTTTTTTTTTATAAAGCTTGAGGTACATGGAATGATCACGGTTAATTCTATAGTGCCATTTTCTGTCTCTAAAGTTTTAATTTGATATTACATAAATATTATTGTAAAGATCAGTACACATTACTTCAGTATACATATATTTAGATTAAATTAAAAGTATTATATTAGTGGAGGAAAAGGGTGATGTTTCAACATATCGAAACATCCCCTTGTCCTCCACAGTACAGTACATTGTTATATAAAAAAGTTAATTCCAAACATTCAAATGCAAAACAAAGTAAAACATGGTGCTAGATCATTGTTATCTTGATTGACATTGTAGAAATGCCATGTGAAGATTTCTAAGTAACTGTAACATGTGAGATTTTTTTAATTTTTTTGTTTGGAAATTTATTTTCCTAATTAACACTATTTATTATTAAATTTTTATTTTATAGTTCATGCATTGATATATGAACAAAAACATATTCTCAATTTTTGTATTCTTAGTTATATTTTTATAATATTAATTTATAGTAGTAATTAAAAAAAATAAATAAAAATTATGTCCCAAAAATTACTTAGAAAATTAATTTTTGTTTACTTTTTTGGTAAGTCTTGTATTTTTTCAATTTCCTGAGATATTGTACAGTAACTAAATCTAAAATAAAAAAAAAAAATATATTGTTAGGTCTATAATGATTGTTTAGCAAAATTTCTTGCACTAAACTGTCAATTGATGAACTTTGCAGATAATATTTAGGGCATAGCTCATCAGAAATGACCCTATTGTTTACTAAATATACATAATTTTGTGAGAGATATTCTTTGAAAATTATCTTAATTCTATTGTGACTTATTAAATATGACATTAAATTGCGCACTGTGTAAATTTTTTGTGCTAAAAAATAATATATTTTTATACCACTGAGGTGGCAAACAAGTATGAGGCCTTATGGTAAGCGGTTACCATAGCCTATAAACATCTGCAATACCAGGCCCATTTTTTTTTAATGGATGATAATGGAATAGTAACCTCGCCTGCTGTATCGGTATACACTGGCGGCAGACCAGATAGGGATGACAGGTGAAAATGAAGCAGATCAGCCCATAGTGACAAATTTCAGTAGAATTAACCACGAAGGCTTCCAGGGGGAACCGCGTGGAGATCGACATAATAGGTTGTATTGCTAGCAATGAGTCAGTTAGACCTCATTACTCACAATCCCTTTCCCCCCACCAGGGGCATTACGTGCGCGTTGCCAATCCTGAAGGAACTTTTATCCTTTTTTTTTTAAGAACTCCATGCTGTCTCTTGAAATAACCTTGACAAGGCGCTCATTTAATTAACCTGAGCGTTTGTGGAACGAACCATCTCTGAAACCGCGCTATACGCGATCATACAGGCTCTAAGGTCCTTAGAACTCCCTGTCGATGGCGAGCTGTCTCTTGAAATAACCTTAACAAGGTGCTCATTTAATGAACCTGAGCGTTTGTGCAAGGAAACATCTCTGAGACCGCGCTATACGCGATCATACAGGCTCTAAAGTCGTTAGAACTCCCTGTCGATGGCGAGCTGTACGTTGGTAGTTTGGTCGTGAGCATTATACTGAACAATTCCTCTGGGCACAGTCTGCTGTACAAGCGATAGTGCAGTATGTTCTGTGATTAAGAGCACCAAATGATTCTGTTAATATCTGTCGGCAGCGTTTACCCTTTCTATTAATGGATCATCAGCTTTTTTTATAGATAAAAGGCTAGTCAAAGTGGTCCAAATGTGAAGATCGCCTACACAGTATAAATTGCTGTGATCGTCATTTTAATAGCCAACAAACGCTATTCTCAGTAGAATAAAGAAAAACCAGAAAAACACAAAAAATTCGTTTAAATTGTCTGCAAAGCATTTGAGGTCATCGCTTCGCCTAGTGAGGAGTCGTCCCACACTGCGTTTGTCGGTAGGCGGTCGTCACTTAAGAACCTTTTTTGCCATTAACATTAACATAAATAGTTATCTATTTTTTGGAGTTGTGGAGAAATGTAAGTTTGTATGAAAATAAAGAGGATAGACAGATTAGATTAAATACAAGAAGAAAAGATGTGGTTCATATTGTTTGTCTTAGACTCCGAGTTGCAAAATATTGTGTTTTGTACAAGTCAGTCATAATTATTCAACAAGTTACCCACTGATATGAAAAGCACTGACCGTTCAATACTTTTAAAACTTAGCTTAGTGCTATTTTGTTGCAAGGATTTAGACGAATTTAATAATTTCTAATTGACCATTTTGTTTATTTCCTTATCATTTGTTTTTAATTTTTTTTTTTATAAGATATTGTAACTTATTTCAAACACAATTGTATGATCATTATTGAATAAATGAATATGAATAGTTATAAGGCTGGATCATTGCCACTTCCTGTTTATTCTTTGGGCTATACTTGTTACTTTGATTCTTCTATGGGTATCCTCTATTAGGATTCTATCACAATTTTTCTTCGTCAATATTGCATGGCTAACGTTGGGTATCTGTCTCTATGATTATCGATGCCATGTTCCAGATTACATGTTCCCACGCCAGGACGCACTTTCTCTATCTGCCGTCTGCTGTAATATCAGTGATCATACGTTTAACCCATGACCATTTTAGCTTAGCAATCCAGTCTCCGCTTTCAGTTACTCGAATTTTGTTTCCGATGTCCAAGTTTCGGATTCTGTATCATCAGGTTGATGATGCCTAGTAAACGTATTTTACTAAATCTTTTTATACCACTGAGGTGGCAAACAAGCATACGGCCCACCTGATGGTAAGTGGTTACCGTAGCCTATGAACACTTGCAATACCAGAGGTATTACGCGTACGTTGCCGACCCTGAAGAAAATCTATTTTATTATTAACTCATGTCCCACTGCTGCACAGAGATCCCCTTTATTTCATTTCAAGAGTTTCTGTTCTGCGTCACCTCGAACCAGTGCTTTCTAAATGCATCCAGATCCAGATTATCACGCCATCACTTCCTGGGTCGGCCTCGTCCATGTTGTCCATTTGTGGGCACTTACTAGTTAGCGATTTTTGCCTACCTTTCGCATGCGGTTATTTTACAAAGCTTTGGCGAAAAATTCCATCACTGACAAGCACTGGACCTACACAGCACGGGTTATGGTCTACATGCTCCCATTACTGAAAGACGATGTAGTGACAAAAATCGAAAAAGGAATGTTGCGTTGGTTTGGTCATTTGGAGAGGATGGATGAAAGAAGAATTACGAAAGAGATTTATCGAGCAAGAATGAATGGAGATGTCGGTAGGGGCCGCTCTAGACGGACGTATGTCGACCAAATAGGGGACGTGCTGAAGAAGGGCCAAATTAAAAGTACCCGTAACCGGCGAGCGTGTATGACAAGATTGATGAATGTGGAAGAAGCGAAAGAGGTTTGTTTGAATCGAAGCATTTGGCGTTCCATTGTTTCTGCCTACCCTAATGGGAGACAGGCGTGACAGATATGTATGTATGTATGCTCCCATTATGGAAAGAATTATACTAGATAATTATATTGTTTTGGTAAGAGTGCGTAGCGATTTTTCTATTGATTGCCGTACGTCTCCTAGTTGTGGAATGTGTGAATATTTTGCGTGGTGGAATGTCTTGAGTAAATCATACTTACTGAAATCTCTAGGTAGCGTGGTGGGTCCTGTTATTGGGCTTCCCAAAATACGGTTCTACGTAATCATTCTTATCTCGCAGAATGATGGCTAGTATACGCTAACAAAGTATCAGTGAGAGAAGTTAGGTTAGGATGAAGATCGTCAAAGGCTGCTATTTTTACGAATTAATTTTTATTTCAGTCGTTAACACTGCTGAACATAAATCTTCTTCATAAGAAGGGTTTTGCCAGTAGTTGCCATGCATGGCATACAACCGCAGTTAGGATTTTAGAGATGTTTGAAGAGACGCTGTTGCCAATTCCTCTATTATTAAGTTCCTTTAATCGCTTCTTACGACATCCACAGGAAAGGAAGGGCTGGTCAATAGGCATAGAATACTATGCTAGGACCACAGTCTTTTACTGATTGGTCTGCTATAATTAGTTAACTGTCTACTTTTAGCTATCATTGTTCTTCGTCTATTTGGAAAAATACATTAGAAGCTATAGGATGTAGGAGGACAAATCTGTAACTCTTTGATCTTATACATGTATGTGATTCGAAAAAGAGTGCTGGATGGAAGGATGATGAAATAAATCTCACAGATTTAGCAGAGTCAGATAAATACTGTATAGGATAAATGGGAGAATTGAAGGGAAAAGTGAAAATATTTTTTTTGTACGTGTTACGAAAGTGGCGTTTTCTATGCCCTTCTTTTAAAGACACCACTATATGTTAGAATTTATAAATTAACGTTATGGTAGCGTATAGTTAAAGTAATTGCAGTCCAATGGAACATGTCAACATATGACCGGCGTCAGTCACTGACATGTGGGAAATAGTCCCGTGTCTTAATGTTGTAGATATCTATTTTGAAGTGCAGTGAACCATCTTTTTTATGTTGTCATTGTAAAACTAATGAAGAGAATTACCTCATGTCTGGGTTTTCTAAATTGTGTGTTCTGGAGGAAGGAGGCCATTATTCCTTTTACCGAGTTAGAGTTATCATCTTATATACATTTTATGGGATAATATACTTAGGGTACTAAGAAGGAGGCCTCTCTGGTTTAGTCTCGTCCGCAGTTTCTTTCGCTCTCGCAGATTTTTCCCCGTAGGGTACTCAATAATCCTTTTTTGTTCGGATGAACATGAGAAAGTATTAAATTATTTGAAATTATGCCTACAACCACGTTTTAAGACAGAGAGGTCTAAGGTATGGATGGATTTTAGAGTCTGGATGATCGCTGATATTCATCTCCACACGTTTGAACCTAAATTTTCTCCCGCCAACGTTCAGGCTGTGGAATGAGCTCCCTGCCGAGGTTTTCCCTAGAAACTGGGGTTCTCCAAAAAGGGTATAATATTAAGGTTACTTTAGGGTCGGCAACGTGCACGTGACACCTCCAGTGTTGCAAGCGTCCATAGTCTACAGTTACCATCAGACGGTGCTTGTCTGTCACTATTGTGATATAAAAAAAAGCTAACGTTAAAACTTGAAGGATTTATACTTCGCTCTAATTCTCTAGTTCGTTCTAGGCGCTATCCCAGGAGTTCTTTGGCTATTATGATTAACCAGAGAACTGGGGCAGCGCACACATTGACTCAATTTTTTGGTAATGGTTTTCAGGATTGAAGCAATTGTGTGATACTTATTATTGTTCTTACTAAATAAACCCATTCTCATTTTGAATATCACGAGATTACTGATTATACTGTTTTTGTCTAGAAATTTGGTGACATTGACGACCACGCTAGAAATGCTGAGGAAGAATTTGATAAGTTAAAAGATGTGCTTGACGATGAAAACCAAAAGGAGGAGGCGGAGGAAGAAACTGTCTCTCCTGATGTTAAAAAGAAAAGCTCCACTCCAAAGGTAAATTTATTTACTGGCGCTAGAGTTTTAGAGCTTTCTGCGAGGTGACGGATGCCTTTTTTAATTGATGAATGAATGACGATGAATGAAAATGGAATGGTAACTCCGCTTACTACACTAATAATTTCATGGCGGTGTACCGGTAAAGAATGACTGGCGAGAAGGATGTTTGGTTGGTTGGCCCGTTATGTTACTGTGAATGATTGCAGACGTATTTTTAATTGACTGTCGATGACAGGGGAATAATGTTTAAAATGTACATATACTTGAAATATAGAACATATCCGGCTGTTAGGCGCAAGATGTAGTCTAAATTTAGGATTTTAATAATGGTGTTCCTTAGATATGTTATAAATATAGGACAGGTTACGTGACTACAGTTAAAATAGCTCTAAAATACTTGCGAATGCTTTTTAATAAATGATAAATAATAGAGAAGGCGGGAGCATCCCGATCATTATCATACATATATTGACGGATGTAAGGTGAAGAATGAGAAGAAGAAGGGTTGTCTTAACAGGGACTATATTGCATGTAATTCGCTAGCTAGTGCTTGTTTACAAGTACTGTTTGTCACAGCATGTATATTATTGGATGCATGGAACATACCACGACCAGACCAAATGACCGACAAGTTCTGAACATTTATAGATACGTTTGGGTTCAAAGGTGAAGCCAATAAAGCGCTCGTCGTCAGCCGGGCTGAAGTCGACGCCGCGGAAGAAGAGTAAGAGCAGTTTCCCAAGGTCGTACACCGACAGCGACATGGCCAACGAGAAGCCGTCCATGCTGAACCATTCGTTCTCCAAGAAGTCTAGTTTGCTGCATCGCCCGTCTAACATTCTGAGACCTGTGAGTACACCCTTTAGTTATGTTTTTCAATATTTGTGATCCTTTTTATTTGTGTCATTTATTATCCTTGGTATTTTTTGTCCATGATATTGTTTATCCGTGATGTTTATTATCCGTGATATTTTTTATTCGGGACCTTTTTGATCCGTGATATCGTTTATCCGTGACATTTTTTATCCGTGATATTGTTTATCCGAGACATTTATTATCCGTGATGTTTTTTATTCGTGACATTTTTTATCCGTGATATTGCTTATCCGTGATCTTGCTTATCCGGGACTTTTTTATCCGTGATATTTATTATCCGTATATTTTCCATGGCACACATGTTGCTTTACGTAAATGAGGTTACAGGTCCGATTCCTGGTCGGGTCAATTTAGGAAACGTACTTGTCTAAATTATCTCAGTTCTGGTTGTGCCCCAGATGTTTAGCGCCTGGTTTCTTATAACATAGGATATCCTAGATTGGAGACCAGGCGGTTGGTGTGACTGTATGGCATTTGTTATTACCCTCGTTGATCTTGTCAGATTTATCTGACATGATTTTCCTGTTTATTTAACTATTATGTAGTTCATGTAATTATCATCATCATATGAGCCTTTAACTGTCCACTGCTGAACATAAGACTCCCTCTTGACTGGGTTTGCCGTCCTTGCCCTCCCTTAGTCACCTCTTACGACATCCACCGGAAAGGAAGGGTTGGCCTATTCTTTGCCGGGACCACACGGTAACCATATAATATTTAAACGGACATGTTCAGTGGTGCTCGTATACGTGGTTAGAAAAGTAGGTAATTTTTTAATGGATGATAACGGAATGGTAACCCATCCTGCGCTAACAGTATACGCTGGCGGGGCATCAGTGAGAGATGATAGGTGAGAAAGAAAATGCAGGTCAGTTAACCCATCGTGATGAATACATCTGGAATTCAGCACGAGGGTTTCCAGGGGGGATCACGTGCTGGTCGACCTGACGTTCTACCCCATATTGCTAGCAATATGACTGGTAGTCATCATTACTAACTATCCCTTCATCCCAGTCGCATTTTTTTTTATGGGTGAAAATGGTATGGTAGCCCCGCCTGCGCTAACGGGATACGCTGGCGGAGCACCAGTGAAGGGTGTTAGATGAGAATGAAAACAGGCCAGTTAGCCCATCGTGATGAATTCATCAGGAATTAACCATGATAGTTGCCAGGGGGAACCGCGAGGTGGTCGACCTGGTTGGGTATATTGCTAGCAATGGGATTCTCAGTTTCCATTACTAACAATCCCTTTCCCCCCCAGTCGCATGATTTCGACCAGATAGGGTATATTGTTAACAATGGGACTGGTAGTCCGCATTATTAATCCCTTTCCCCTAGAACGGTAAGTTAGTTTGGTGAAAGCCTCAAAAATTGACTTTTTTTTTGTATAAAATACTCAAATTTGCCAACTCATGGTGGTAAATCCTAAGATTTACCAATGTATGGGCTATTATAGTAATATATACACGGCAACACATGTTAACCTTTTCATGAGGGGGGAAAAGGATTGTCAGCAATGGAGTTTAACAGCCCCATTGCTAGCAATATACCTTATTAGGTCGAACTCCACCTGGTTCCCCCTGGAAACCATCGTGAACAATTCTTGTTGAATTCGTCACGATGGGCTAACTGACCTGCTTCATCCTCACTTATCATCCTTCACTGTTGCCCCGCCGGTGTATACCGATAGCGCGGGTGGGGATACCATTCCATTATCATCCATTTAAAAAAAAAAAAACCTTTTCATGACTTCTGTTTGTTATATGGATAATATTCTATTGCTGCAGGAGACACCGCCGTTGGATTTGGAGAACGTGTCCGAGACTCTGCTGGAGAAGAACATTAAGGCGAGCCAAATGAAGTTCGGCTTTCTCGGCCTCGGCATCATGGGGAGCGGCATAGTGAAGAACCTCCTCAACTCTGGACACAAGGTCATTGTGTGGAACAGAACCGCCGCTAAGGTAAGTGATGTTTTTTGTACACGTATACGGATTTTTCTCTTATTAATTCGTATACTTTTTTTTTTCATTGTTCTTTCTATTTTTTTTTTATATTTCAATGTCATTTCTATATTTGCAAGAAACTCCAGATATATATATTATAATATCTGAGACTAACTTTTTAGTTTTGTTTACGTAAAGGTGATTTGCGTAGGTAATAGGTTTTATCAATGACAAAACTGAGATTTTCTATTTCGAAAATAGTTTTTTTACATACATATATTGTGTCTAAGAGAGAAGATCTGTTATATATTTGGGTTTTTTTTTTTTTATAATTAGTATAATCGTTAGTTGATTGATAGGGTCGTAATTAGGTACATAGTTTTGATCGTCAGTTTTGAGATAATTGTCAGTAGATTACATATCATAATTTCGAAGATTTTTCTTCTATCTAATTTTGCCGTCTGTAACATATACCTGATAATTCCTTTAGATTTTTTTAACTTGCTCTGTTTTGTAGGTTTCTTGAGAGTTTAACTATCCTCTCCCATCCTTACACCCTTTCACTCCTTTCTCCTTCTTCATACCTCTCCCCCTGCCTCTCTCTCCCTATCACGCTTTCTATCTCCCCCTCTCCCTTTCTCTCATACCTCTTCCTTTCTCTCACCTCTCTCCCTCACCCCTTTCCCCTCTCTCCCCTCTCCCTGTCTCACCCTCTCCCTTTCTTCCCCTCTATCCTCTCCCCCTCCCACATATCTCCCTTTTCCTCCCTTTCACCCCTCACCCTCTCTCGTGTGTATGTAAGAGTAGTGTGCGTGCGTGTTTTTTTAATTATTTCCAAAGATCATTTTGTTATGTATGAAAATGAAATAAAACCGCTCCGTACTCGCTTTCACTGGTGCCCCATATACATACATATAGCGTATACACACAGTGGATGTATTAATTCAATTAACACGAGTTTGTTTGTATAAGCTTTATTATATATTCACATTTGACACAAAGAAAGAAAATAATAAGATATACAGGCGGACTTATTTATCGCTTGATGGGATTTCTTTGAGTTTTATATTTAAATATATAATGGAGTATATCACTGAGGTGGCAAACAAGCGTACGGCACTCCTGATGGTAAGATTTGTAAAGATTAAAAGAAAATATTGTATAACATAGGTACATTGTAAAGCATATAATCTTACAAATTATGCTGATAGCGCGTAACTCCATGTAACATGAGATCACTGGGATTCGCGTATCGCGTGGCAAGGTACGCCCTGTCTTTAGTACGCATTATTTTTCAAATGAAATCAGATACGTTTTTTTTAATTATAGCTTTTTTGCTTTATCTGCATCATCATCACCCACCGATATTATAGGGCAAAATCTAAATTTTAAAAAATATACTAATACAAAAAAACGAAGGAGTTTTTTTGAACGCGCCCATATCTGGAACTGAGGGTATAATGTTGTATAACATTAGATGTGCTTTGCACGCTTAAATAACTTTTCTTTATAATAAAAAAAAAAAAATCTGCTTACGAAATGAAATGAAATGAAATTTATTTGCTAGAAACATTGTAAATAAGATGTTGCATTTGTCAAGTTTACAAGATGTCCATTGTGTTTCGCCACATCAAATGTCATGCAAATATTAACCATTGAATTTATTCATTGGCCATTTTATACAGGTACATTATATATTTAATTTTTAATTATTTACAACATTAATTATAAAATGAATATGCACTTCTATTGAAGGACGCCATGACAGACTAGCTTAATTACATTTTCCAATGTTGCCAACCTTAGGTACAATAATTTCCAATGTACTACAGGGGGAAAAGGGATTGTAAGTAATAGGGTCTGATTTCCCCTTAACTACCAATGTGGGATATATCAGGTCGACCTCCACGCGGTTCCCCCTGGAAAATATCGTGAATAATTCTAGTGGAATTCGTCACGATTGGCTAACTGAACTGCTTTTTCTTCTTCACCTATCACTCCTCACCGGTACCTCGCCAGCATTTACCGATAGCGCAGGCAGGGTTATTATTCCATTATCACATATTAAAAAAAAGAATGTAAAACTACCAGTCATATTTGAAAAAAATATTTTTACATTTGGTTGCACATTTCTGGTTAGAAAGAAAATAGGTATATAGGCCAATTAACATCATGATATCACCACAGGTGAATCCGCGAGATACAGTTAGTCATTAATATCCTATTAAGGGAGTGTTCTATTAATGAAATTGAACATTTTCATTAAGTAAATATTGGTCGAAAAATAACAAATAAAACCTTTGAAACTTCCATACTAACACAGCACGGCCATCTTCGTTTCAAACTTTGTTGTCGTTTATAATTGGTTATATTTTTTTTTTATACAACTTAGAATGGCAAACAAGCTGACGGCCCACCTGATTGAAAGTGGTAACCGTCGCCTATAGACGTGAGCAGTACCATGGACATAACAGAGTATACTGTTTCGCCCATGATATCCCTCATGCGTTGCCATTCCTGAGGACTCAGGTGTTATTCCTCTGTACCCAGTAAATTCACGCCATATCCCACCCTTCAAACCGAAACACAGCCATGCAAACACAACTGCTTCACGGTTGAAACACGAATGGAACAGAGGTAGCCAAGCAATCGACTTTTGTACAAAGTCTCCCTCTGCTCATTTCTCAAATATAGAGTTCCCTTAGTCGCCTCTTCCGATACCCACAGGAAAGAAAGAGAATGAGCCACATTCTACGCTGGGACCACACGGCAACAGCTGAATAGATTTGCATTAATTATACATAATTTCGCTGGTAAAATCTTATCCATATATAAACAGTAAGTGAAGTTTTTGACGCACACATCAAAATATGTAACGTTATGTCATTCCAGTCTCTTTCCCCTCTCCCTCTCTTATCTATCCCCCTCTCCTCTCTCATATATATCTCCTCTCCCCTTTCATATATCTATCCTCTTCTCCCTCTCCTCTCTTTTCTATCTCCTCTCCTCTCATTCTTATCTCCTCTTTCCTATCTCTTTTTACCTCTTTCCTCTCTCTCTCTCTCTAAAGAGGTAAACCTCTACTTCTAGTTAACGCTTTCACAAGAAAATAGATCGTGGGACTCCACTGTCTCATTCTATCTTATTCGTGTAGTGTCGAAAACGGATAAAGCTTCCCTAAAACTTGGTCCTTTCGTAATATATTGACATGATTCTATTTATTTCTGTTATTGATTTTAGTTGCTGTTAGTAATTTTGTCATCAGGTCATCAATAACTATTTAAATAATTACGTAAACATGAATATGTTTCAACCTTATGATTTACTAATATATACAACTTATTACCAATAGTACTAATTACGCCATGGGGTCGATTCTGAAGCGCTTATATTTATAACCGAGTTTAAAAAGAAAGAGATTCTCAATTCAATTGTATTTTTTTTTAAAGTTTGTTATCTCGTAACTCTGTCAGTTGTAAACCAAATTGGAAAATTCTAATGATTTTTTTTTTTTCAATATTTTTACATGAATGGATATTCGTATAGATTGAACTCATATACATTTTATCAAAACCGTTTCACTAGTTTAGTTTTAAACCTAAATAGCTTGATTTGCCACAATTGAATAATTGAAATGCCTTTTTTAATACAATTTAATTATTAAAACTAACAACTTAATATAGATTTATTATTATTATTATACCAGCCGTTAACTGTCCACTGCTGAACATAAGCCTCCCCCATAAGGGGAGTTTTCCAAGTAGTTGCCACGCTTGGCAGGCGAGTTGGCAACAGTAGTTACGTTTTGGTGATGTTTCAAGAGGAACGCTGCTGCCCATCCTTCGACCATTGATTTCGATATTACACTGAAATTATTTTAAATAGTAATGAATGAAATTTTTATCTACTTCTTACCTACAACTTGGTCCGCATGATCCGGATTTTTTTTAATGGTTGAATATGAAATGGTAACCCAGACCGCGCTATCGGTATACGTTGGCGGGGAACCAGTGAAAGATGATAGGTGAGAATGAATGTAGGTCGGTTGGCCCGCCATGGTGAATCCGACAAAAATTAACCATGATGGTTTCCAGGGGGAACCGCGTGGAGGTCGACCTGAGAGGGTATATTGTTAGCAATGGGGCTATTAGACCTAATTACTAACAATCTCTTCCCCCCCCCCCCCCCATTCCAAATATTAGGTGTAGGGCGAAACAGTATACTCTGTTATGTCTATGATACTGCTCATGTCTATAGGCGACGGTTACCGCTTTCCACCAGGTGGGCCGTCATTCTAAGTTGTATAAATATATATATCATAGAACACTAATAATATGTATTTAATATGTCCTTGTCTGATTTCTCTATAAACATTACATTGTTTTACCCGTTTTTGATGCAAGTGTTGGTCCCATATTTTGTCACGATTACAATAAACACCATTGGACATATTTGCAGCGCTGTCTAGTCCTATAGATACTAGATTAAATGAGGCACAATATACAATACTAGTATAGTATTGTATTGTCTGTGCTTATGTAGTTATTTATTATAGCTCAAACATGCTTGGAAATGGGAGCATTATTTTGACAATCTTAGAGATAAATCAAACTTGCCGTACTGGCCAGATACATGCGGGCAGCGGCCGGCAAAAGTTGTATGAAAATCCATATCTGTCGTGTTTTGCGGCCAGATAAATTACTATGTAAACTCATATCTGTCCTGTAATTTAAAAATGGAATGAACTTTCACTTCGAAACACGGCTACCTAATAAAAAGTTACTAATAAAAAGTTTTTTTTTAAATTTCGAACTGGTTTGCTACTAGAAAGCTATTTATTGAAAAAACAAAGGAACATTATGGCGCGTGTAAAATTATTATTGTTCGTTATTCGTCATTGAACTTAAAAAGTAAAATTGTATTTTTGATTGTTTGTCATTCTAAGTTGTATAAAAAAAAACAAATATATAACTATATAATACTAATTACAATATGAATACATACATATCAACACTTAAATAATGAATAACAATAATACAGAAGATACGTACTTATCGTGAAGCAATTTCAATGATTGAATAATATTGTAATAAACTCATTAACTATTTTTAAATTAAACAAAAGGTTGGCCTCTCTCGTACTTGCTGTGTCCCAACACAGTCCATAATTGAAGTTGAAGTGTCATTTACTATATATTTACTATATTTAATATGGGTGCATATTAGGGGGGAAAGGGATTGTTAGCAATGGAGTTTGACATCCCCATTGCTATCAATGTGCCTTATTAGGTCGACCTCCACTTGGTTCCCCCTGGAAACCATCATGAATAATTCTTGTTGAATTCGTCACGATGGGCTAAATGACCTGCTTCGTCCTTATCTATCATCCTTCACTGGTGCCCCGCCGGTGTATACCGATAGCGCGGGTGGGGTTACCATTCCATTATCATCCATTAAAAAAAATATGGGTGCATATTATGGAATGTAATAATAAATAAATAAATTCGTAAATTTCCCGTTATACACATACATATATAGACTTCATTAAAATTGCACATATATTTTAAAAATAATAAAATCGTAAGTTCATATGAGTTTCAGAATTTATGTATAAAATAGGTTGTAATGCATTTTCTGTAATTCTGTAATGTGACGTGGCGTGAATTTACTGGGTACAAAGCAGTAACACCTGAGTCCTCAGGAATGACAACGCATGGGGGGTATCATGGGCGAAACAGTATACTCTGTTATGTACATGGTACTGCTCATGTCTATAGGCGACGGTTACCACTTTCCATCAGGTGGGCCGTCAGCTTGTTTGCCATTCTAAGTTGTATAAAAAAAATCATATTATAGTTATTATAATATTCTATTTAATATAGTTCAGAATAATATTTTTTATGAAAATGGAATGGTAACCCCGCTTGCGCTATGGGTATACGCTGGCGGGGCACCAGTGAGAATTGATAGACAAGGGTGAAAGCAGGTCAGTTAGCCCATCGTGAAGAAATCCGTAAGAATTAACCACGATGGTTTCCATGAACCGCGTGGAGGTCGACCTAATATTGTACATTGCTAGTAATGGAACTGTTAGATCCCATTACTAACAATCCCTTTCCCCCCTTCTGTTGGTCTTCCAAATAAATAAGTAAATATAGAATACCTCGTAATCCGTGGATGGAGGTGGCTCAGGACTATTTTTTATGGTAGTCTATAGGGGAGGCTTATTTTCAGCAGTGGACAGATAATGGCTGAGATGATGATGTAGTAGTGATCCTCACGATAGTTCTCATGTTTTGCCATTTCTGAAAACTAGAGTATTATGCTTTTGTACCCTGAAATTTCTCTGTGTGAAATGTAAGGTTGAGAAATACGCCCATTTTAGCCTATTAGCAATTAGACAATTAGGTGAATTGGTAATAACATCAATTGTTTTAGGATCTTATTACCAATCGTCAAAGTGACCGTTTTAATTCCATATAATATCCATTTCACGCCATTCACCTATTAGGTCAATGCGATGCGCTATCTAATTGTTTTTATTCACATACTTTTTTCATAAAAATGGAGATTGTCTGCAATTCAACAATTTGTGTCGTAAGACTGACGACGTCTGTATTTATGTGTCAATGTTTCAATTTTATATATTTCTTATCATTTTGATATAACCAAAATGTTTTCCAGAGGGGGGAAAGGGATTGTTAGTAATGGAAACTGAGAATCCCATTGATAGCAATATACCCAACCAGGTCGACCTCCTCGCGGTCCCCCTGGAAACTATCATGGTTAATTCCTGATGAATTCATCATGATGGGCTAACTGGCCTGTTTTTATTCTCATCTATCACCCTTCACTGGTGCTCCGCCAGCGTATCCCGTTAGCGCAGGCGGGGTTACCACACCATTTTCACCCATCAAAAAAAATTTCTTTCAGACTACTTGTACTGCATTATATATGCAACTATTAAACTATAACTACTTTACCAGAGGGAGACTTTGTACAAAAGTCGATTGCTTGGTTACCTCTGTCCCATTCGTGTTTCTACCGTGAAGCAGTTGTGTTTGAAGGGTGGGATATGACAGTGAATTTACAGGGTACAGAGGAATAACACCAGTCCTCAGGAATGGCAACGCATGGGGGGTATCATGGGCGAAACAGTGTGTGTGTGTGGTACTGTTATGTCCATGGCACTGCTCACGTCTATAGGCGACGGTTACCACTTTCCATCAGGTGGGCCGTCAGCTTGTTTGCCATTCTAAGTGTATAAAAAAAAATTACTTCACCTAACTAAATCGAATAAGACCACTTTGCTGCTAAATACATAGTTCGAGCGCATTTTAATATGTGAATCGATATACCTTTATATTTTGGAATGTAACGGTAAAAAGTATTTGGTTAAAGTGAAATATGAATTGAACAATTTTTCAACAACTTCTATGAATAATGTTTAAAGACAATAAATAGAAAGTAACATTTTAAAATAATTCAGAAATATGTAAAATTGTCTCGGAAAATGGATAAATAATGCAGATTTTGCCAAATTTCGGTTTGAACACTCGAATACTTTAACGGAAACCTAGATCTGTGTGCTTATTTTCTTGTTCTATGTTGTAATAAAATCGGAAATTTTAACTATAGGTCTAAATGGGTATAACTAAATGTCCACATAGCATCGTTTATGTAAATTGTATGTGTGACGTATAAATAAATATTTAATATGAATAAAAGTGTTTCATTTAAAATTATCGATTCACTTAGATTTAGTTGAATGACCGCTCGTATCTTTAAACGAACAGACAGACGCGCCCTAACGTTAACTTTATTGTAATTTCTAATATATATCTTTGTTTAAACGTGAAAATGTATATAAAACATTACACGTACCATTTTCATGGTTTTCTTCTGTCTAAGCATAATGATAGTGTTACATCATGTTAGGTATTTTTGGCGCCAAAATTTTTTATTTAGGGAATACATTTTAAATAATACCATGCAATACATTGAAAAATAATTTATTCTCATGATTAGCCGCTTACTCTTGTTATATATTTAGAAAATGTTCAACAATATTTGTATATTTTATATTAAGAAACGTTATATAATATAATCATTGCTGGATTGTATTGTTTGGCATATCACTGCAAGACTCATTTAACGCACTGTACGACATTGTCACAAAATATATAAGTATACATAATGTTTCCTATTAGATAAAGTTTAAAATTTCATACATGTACTAGATGACGAATGAGTTATCTACCAACATACAGTACAGTAGTATATTAGCATATCCGTATATTTATCGTTCAGTTATTGAGATCAGATGGATACGACGGACAGACGCTAGGACCGAGCAGAGGAGCGCTCCTCCGCGCCGGCTGTGGTTGGATACACCAATGTACAATAACCTCGCAACAATTAGAACAAGATTGTAACAACTTCCTTATACCTCTCACTTTAATCTATTTAAGTTAAACCAATATAAAAAATGCATAATGCTCTAAGAGTTTTATCCTAAAAATACATCAAAATGGAAAATGATTGAAACAAACAGATGTATTTACAAGACCTAATACCCATAGAACGCTTAATTAATCCGGTCCACGCGATTCACTACACGAACAACGCACAGACTGTTTCAGTACACTCCTTACCACCTATTATTACTAGACAGTAATGTATTTTCGCTAAACGTATGTAAATTCAAATCTAGTCTATCACAGCTTACTTAGAAGTACAAGCGGTATCCGCAGCGGGCCGACCGTACCCGTCGGCCCCTCTCACTAGTGTTATATACCTTAGGATATTATTGACAATGGAAACATCGGGCAAGATATGTTCCGCGAACACCGAGCATCAGACGAAGGAGGGCGAGTGGCCGCTAAAATCACAGAGTTGCATGGCGGGCGCGCGCTGCCGCGCGAGGCTTCGGCCCGACACGGCGTAGATCTTGAAGACGCGCGTCAGCAGCCGCCACTACAACGGCGTCCGCTCGGGCCGCGCCAGCTCCACCGCCAGCAGCACGCGCGCCTGGCAGTGCCGCGCCGCACGCTCCTCCTCCTCCTCCTCCGCCGCCGCCGCCGCCGCCGCCGCCGCCGCCGCGCCCAGCTCCGGCGAGCTCGCGCTCGTCGCCAGCTGGTGGCAGCGCCGCTCCGCCACGCGCCCGCGGCCCAGCAGCGGCTCGCTCGACGGCTTCGACTCCGCCTCCGCCTCGCTCCTGTACTTCGCCGGCGGCCGCACCGGCATCCCGCACTTGGACGTGGTCGGCGACGGGGAGCCCGGAGGCGTCGGCGACTCGACGGTCGGCGGTGGCGCCGCCTGCAGCGGCTTGATCATGGCGAGCAGCCGCGGCGGCGCCCGCTCGATCATGTTGATGTGGATGCCCTCGGGGATGGGGATCGGGGAGTTCCTCCTCGAGTTCAACGACCTCTCCGTTGGCGTGTAGTAAATGGATATCTTGCTCTCGTCGTCCGGGATCGGGTTCGGGAGTTTCGATAGTTTCTCTATTTTAGTCTTGAGATACATGTCGATGACCTCGACGTCCGGGTCGAAGGCCATGGAGTCGCTGCGCCCGCAGGACCCGCTGCGGCAGTTCTCGAAGTACAGGCTCGGCAGGTTCTCCAACACTTTGTTCAGTGTCTGCTGCTGATACTTGTATGATTCCCGCAATCTAAGTATCTGGTGAGCGCTGAATTTCCTTATTTTGTTCCTTTGGAAAACGTAGTTTTCCCGCACCCAGTTCAACTGGCACGTCGAGTATTCTCTCACTCGTTTCACCTGAATGAAAAAAGGACGCGCGTCAGACGACGTTTAAAGATTAAAGATATAAGGAAATTATAAACATCGCCGGATGTAGGCGATTAAGTACGCGGATTATTTATTATATATATAATATGTTAGTGACCATATGCCATTTAATACAATAAGCAAGATAGAATGTTTATTTAAATGAACTTTATTAAGTCCATTTATAATTTTATAAATATTGTAATGCTGAGCTAAGAATGCAGAAATTAAAAAAAAAAAAAAACAAATTTTAAATATCTGAATCTAACACAATTTGTTACAGTTGATTGATTAACTACTAGACGGAAATAAATGAATTTGGCAGAGATACAGCCTGAACAAAGCCAAGAATAGAAATAGAGTATATAACGTTTCAAAAGACGAAAGTATGGGACAAGTAGATGAAATTAGAGGTGTCTTATAATATGTAGAAGAAAAAAAAAAAACAGAAATTTAATGTTACTGTTGATATAAGATTAATTATTATGAAGTCTTTCAAGCCATTTAGACTAATGTCATATTTTGCTCTCTCTTCTTTGTATTTGAATTTCGAATTGAATTCAAATTGAATGTTTAATAAAAACATTAACAAATATGGACTACAATGTATTATTATTATTATATTAAATTTATTTAGGTAGACAAATAACATTAACTAACAAGTCATTGATGCGTCAACAATTTACTATCATGTTTTGCTTACTATAAATATGTATATTTGTATATTATAAATACATACATATATTATAATATATAAGTATATACCGCATTTTTCAACAATTCTCAAAAGTTTTCTATTGGCCTCATCTGATGTATATCCTCTCTTATTACATAAAATCCTTTTAACATAAAAGGGAATGCTCTCCTAGGGAATGCTTTTATTTATTCAAACTTTATTGACCAATAAAACGTGATACAAATGGCGGGTTTAATGTTAATTGAATTCTCTACCAGTGCAGCAAAGTGCACAGATATCGAAGGCTGTGCTTTCAGCTTTGAGTCCTTCTTCTACATAAATAATCAAATACTATGCATAAAATACTTAGGGTTAATTTTGACGTACCTGATCGTAATACTGGTCCCTCATGGAAGATAAATGATTTGTCCCTATATCCCTGATGTTCCTCAAGTGGTTCGCTTGGCTGGTATAACTATTCTGTATCCATTCCATTTGTTGTGTGCAGTTTTCTTTTATTCTGTGTACCTGAAAATAACAATATGTTTAATATATACAGGCAACAAGTATATTAAAGATTGACTGACCATGTATTTATATAATTTATTATTATTAATATTTATAAAAAAAAAATATTGGCAAATCTTTTTTTCATAGTGAACAGATTGTTAGGATAATTATGTATATGTAAATTAATATTTTTGTGTTTATTTTTAAATTTTTTCAATAAAAACATGTTATGTTATTTACCAGATAAATATAAAATGGGCATCCTATTTATAAGTTTCTTCTATATTTACTTAATAATCTTCACATGGAAGTAACTTGATTAAAATAAACAGATAATCATTAAAATAAAAAAAAAAAATCTAAATCTATTATTAACTAATTTGTTTTTTATATGCTATTTAGAATAACAAACAAGCTGACCACCTCATGAAAAGTAGTAACCATTGCCTATAGACATAAGAAGCGTCACTGAATACACTGTGATACCCACGGTTTACAGTGACTTTATTAAAATGACATGCCAAGATTGTTCACATACTAAATATGCCAAGTAAAAGGGAATAGATTATAGATGTATATGCAACATACTTGGACAGCATAGTTTTCTCTCAGCTTCTCCAATTGCTGCCTTTTGTATTGTTCAATATTGTCCAACATACTGTATATCTGTCGCGTGCGCGGCGCGTCACGGCTAACGCAAGTGCAGCAGCTGCAACACGTCTCCATGAGGTGAAACCTGAAAAAAATATAGGTTAACGATGAAAATCCGATGTAATATAATATACACAAAGTCAGTTTGGCAACATTTATATCGTAATAAAAATAGTATCACACTAACCTGTAAAATATGTAACGCATCGCCTGTACTAACAACGTGAGACCCAGGAAACCCGCGGCGCATATCGCCCCGCACAGTAAACTATACATTTTTATCTCAAACATGGTCATTGGGTCTATGTTGAGAACAACCGTCGCTGATACGTTGGCTGACGGGTTTGTCGCATAACACAAGTAGGTCCCACTGTCTTCTCTGTGGATATCTCGTATAAATAGTGATCCATCTTCACGAATTCGCACTCTCGATTTAGAATTGTCTATGGCGTGATAGTGCTCGTCGTGGGCCACCCCATGCTTGTGGAATATATCCGGTATAAGAGGCTCAGGGTTCCAATGGAATACGTTTCTTGTTGGGGTGATCCATGTTATCGAAGGTGCTGGGTTTCCAGCGAATTTACATTCTAATAATGCATCTGTTTGCAACCTGTATAGGGTTAGAGGACTACTGGTGATCAGTTCAGGTGGTTTGCAGTTGGTGTGGTTCAGAATAGTCAGCATGTCGTTCGGGTATGTCAATCTGCAGCTCAGATCGGATTTTATAATTTCTTTCCTCTTCTCAGCCCATTCAGCGAACCAGGCCATTCGACAGTCACATGCCCAGGGATTGCCACCTATTCTAAGCTCTTGTAATTCATCAAGTGTATTCAAAGATAATGGTAGATTTGTCAATGCATTTGCAGATATATCCAGGTGTGTCAGTGTGTGGATGTCTTGGAAAACAAAAGGTTCTATTTCACGTAAAAAGACATTGTCTCTAATGTAAAGTCGCTGTAGATTATTTAAGCCTTTGAAATTAGTATTTTCTATAACCGTTACTTCTGTGTGCTCGAGGTAGACTGTATTCAAGTTTTCATTGTGTTGGAAGAGCATTGGCGGCAACATCCTCATTCTATTACCGCCCATATTTAACCACCTTAAGTTTATTAGATTTTTAAAAGCATCTTGTGATATGTTTTGAAACTGATTGTAGCTCAGGTTTAGCTCTCTAAGTTGTTGGAAGTTATCAAACATTGATTTAGGTATATAGTCTAATTTGTTGCTAGATATATCCAGTGTCTCTAATTCCCTCAAGTTGACTAGAGCATTACTTGTAATTTTGACTAGGCTATTATTATTTAGGAACAACATTTTTAGTTGACGATTGGGATTAAAATAGTAATCTAAGAATGTGGCTATTTTATTATGTGATATATCCAAATATTGCAATCTAATCATTGGCCCAAAGACCTGGAATGGTATTACATGAAGTTGGTTATGTGAGACATCAAGAACCTCCAGATTTTCCAGGTCGGCAAATGTAAACCTAGGAATGTCATCGAGATGGTTCCTCGATATGTTTAAATGTTTCAAACGGGTCAGTCTAGCAAACAGTCCATGTTCAGTCCTTTTTATTTCGTTTCTACTCAAATCGATGTATTCTAAATGGTGTAACCCATCAAACAAGTGTGGCTCTAACAAGGTTATCTTTGAATCTGTCCATGTGATTGTTTGCAGTCGAGGACCATAGTTAGCGAGTACCGTTCTGGTAAGTTTGTTGTCTTGTATTTCATTGGCAGAGCATGAGAGCTTGGTACTGGTGCATATGCATGTGGAGGGGCACGTGTCCGCCTCCACAGCTGTGCAAATTATTGCCAGCGCCAATATTTTGTGCCACCACTGCATTATATTATAACCCTCATAGTCTTATTTACTGTAACAATAGATAAAATATTTTTATACTCTCTAAAGTAAAACAAATAAATATTTATTTGCATTTAATTAATTACTGTTAAACTCAATTATTAAATTATTTCTGACATTTATTTGTATTGAGAAACCATATCTTACTTACGTATTACTTTTGTATAATGAATAATATATATATATATATATATATATATATATATATAATTTTTGATGCCTATATATTAAATGTTCAATAACAATACTAAGCATGTATTAATCATCATTATTTATTTAATGCTTGATTATAAATGTAGACATACTAAATTTTGTTATTATTCTAATCTCCCCTGTTTCTCTTCTGGGTAGGCAGTCTTAGAGACCAAACAAACTTAAAAACAGACCTGTTTTTAAGTTTGTTTGGAATTTAGAATAATCATTAAAGGAAATAGTATATTGTAATATCATTGGAAGACTAGTTTTGTTACTCATAAAGTCATTAAATCATAGACATTGCTATTTATAGAATTTAAATGTAAACTAATTAATGTATTTGTATGTAGAACAGTAAATTTAAAACTCGAATTAAAACCAAATACTAATCTGGCTAGCGTGGTGGTAGATTAGACTAAAATAAGTATCCTTCTCATAAGCAAGTCTCGTGCCTAACAGTGGAACATTAATATGGTGTTGTGATTGGTATAATCATATTGTTTCTCCATACAAGCAGACACGGATCGTCGTGCTTAGTGTCTGGCTCACCTTTCATTAAACTGCTGCTACCTCCAGAACATTCCCATTTATTATGATTACACACCACTTTATCACAATAAGAATGGCACAAACACTGCCACATTAATACTTTTACACATAAACGACGCGACATTTACCTAATACGGCCACATTTTGCTCCAACTTGCATAATACACGTTTATTTTGTGTTGACAACAGATTCTATTGAGCCGTACATACTTGCACAGGGACACGTTTCATTCACCAATAAGACACGTTAGATTCCATTGTAGATATTCACAAATTACAAACACATTACTCTATTAACATTTGCATAAAATTTAATATATTAAATTCATAAATAAAACGAATAAGCTCTCTACTCTATTGATAATGAAATACGCTGTCACTACGGCGGAGGCGAGCACTAGAAAGAAATAAAGGGCAGCTCGGTGAGTTGCGCGGACTGCGCTCCTTATCTACGGCGCGCCGTTTGCATATTTCCGTCCCGCTCACTCTTTGGCCCAGTCAGCTGTGGGGAGCGAAGATGGCCGACCGAGGCCGAATGGAGGCGAAAGTGCTTTCGGAAGCGCGCCGCGTCGAATGTCCACCACGCATTCTTGCGAGTACATTTTCTTGGCTCGTAGAAAACCATAATTTATTAGGGTTCCGCTTAAAGTTTTAAATTGAAATGGAATTATGAATTAATTTTCACTACCTATATTATATTAAATTAAAATGACGATATAAAATAGTATTTTACCTAGAATTATTTATTTCTTTGACAATAGTTTGCAAACTATTTACACAAGTTTTTTTTTTAATAAAAATGTAAAATATAATGCTATTTTCATGAGATTACGGTTTTTTTCTCTAATACCTAATCGATTGACGAACAAGGTCATTTACTGTGCAGCCTTCAATGCAGTATTTGTGATCGTTTAAATTTCGATTCTATGGGCATTGTAATACCGTTTATTATTATTACTAAGTACTTGTTACTTCACAACTTAAGTGACCTTTGCATCGTTGCAAAAATTATGCAGGTAGAGACTTACGCTATGCTTGGCGCAGTTTACAGAGGAGAAAAAAACCTTATAATAAAATATTTACCTTTATGATTTACGTAAATATTTTTGAGACGATTATTAGGAGTCAAATTAGGTACCTGGTATTTGAGGTAAAAAATAATGTAATAATGTTTGATACTTTCGTAGTATACCGATTGCTTTTTTAGTTTTACTGCGTGATGGTTATTTAAACAGTTCTTAATTGACTTTCAATTGGGAATTGTCAATTGAGAACTTTGTTTAATAATAAAAATGAGATCCGCAGTTCAATTCTAGATTGAATTTTTATTATTACACCTAAGTGCATAGGGAATTTTAAATATGTATCTGCTACCTGAAACTAATTAAGGTCGAGGGAAAGGGATTGTTAGTAGTCAGATCTAATAGCTCCGTTGCTAGCAATATACCTTCTCAGGTCGACCTCATCGCGGTTCCTTCTGGAAACCATCGTGAACAATTTTAGTTGAATTCGTCACGATGGGCTAACTGACCTGCTTCATCCTCACCTGTCATACTTCACTGGTGCCCCGCCGGTGTTTACCGATAGCACGAGTTCCATTATTACCCATTAAAAAAAAAACAACTAATTAAGTTTTCTAATTCTAAGCAATTTAATTCAATGGAGAATTCAAACAGTATCTCAGGATTTGATTTGCTCAATCGATTTCGGTAAAATACATCAATTATTGTAGATATTACATTAGCTTTGACTTGAAGCATCAACAGGTATACAAACAATGAATCATTCCGTGTACCAGTTTTTAGGTTCACCTTAATATCTTAGTTAATTACTTATAAATTGGGTTTGAAATGTGTTTTATAATTTAGCCATAATTATTTAACAATTAACCGGCTACTTCTAGTTTTCATTCATCACTAATATTAAAAAAAAAACTTATTAAAACAGATTTTTTCCAGTTTTTATGATTTTAATAAAGTAACAGGGGGCAATAGAAACATAAAAAAGTATTGCCATGCATCAAAATATATGAACAAATGAAATTAATATACTATATAGTAGTTTCCTGATGTTATTTTATTAATTCAATTAAATACATAATAATATGCGTGGTAGACATAATGGTAATATTTTTCGTCTGGAAATGGCAACATTCTACACCAGACTCGCTCAGTTTATTTACCCCTTGTCTCAGCCTCGTGCTGTGAAAGTCAGAAAGTCTTTTGTTTCGGAACCGACATAGCTGTCACCCGCGGGTTTGTTTGCTAGAAATGTAAAAAGTAACGTATTTGTTACATGAATATCATTCATTTAGAATATTTATTTATATATTTAATATTATTCTTTATTTTTATATTTATTAGGAATGTTGCGTTTTGGTTGTGGTTTGGGCATTTGGAGAGGATGGATGAAAGAATTACGAAAGAGATTTATCGAGCAAGAATGAATGGAGATGACGGTAGGGGCCGCCCTAGACGGACGTATGTTGACCAAATAGGCGACGTGCTGAAGCAGGGCCAAATTAAAAGTGCCCGTAACCGGCGAGCGTGTATGGAAAGATTGATGAATGTGGAAGAAGTGAAAGAGGTTTATTGAATCGAAGCATTTGGCGTTCCATTGTTTCTGCCTACCCCAATGGGAGACAGGCGTGACAGATATGTATGTATTTAATATTTTTATGATTAAAACAGTAGTAGTTCTTTTTTAATGGAAGAAAATGAAATAACCTCGCCTGCGCGATTGGTTTACGTTGGCGGGCGAACAGTGTTTGTTGGGAAATAGTAGGTGAGGATGAAGTCATCTCATCGTGACGTATTCACCAAGAATTAACCATGTTCTAGAGGGACTCCGTGGTGGTCTACTGGACATGGCATGATAGTATTGATAGCAATTGGGCCCGCTACTCTTCTTTCATTATCCACAGTCTACTTTAGTTAACGCAGGTTAGGTAGTAATCATTATATGTATTTGGTACGAATATATATATATATATATATATATATATATATATATATATATATATATATATATATATATATATATATATATATATATATTTATTTATTTAACACTTTATTGCACCAACATAACATGATTTGTTAAAACAATTTTCAATACGTATAGTGTAGTACAAAAGGCGGTCTTATTGCTAAGCAATCTCTTCCATATATTTACCATGTCAAATTTTTATCATTGCATACATATTTTATTAAACAAAACACAATGCGCGTAAATATCTACTGATAAGTTAGATTAGATTAGTAACTGGGGATCAATGTTAGGTATTCATTCATCATCATACCAGCCTCTAACTGTCCACTGCTGAACATAAGCTTCCCTCTTGAGGGGTTTTGTTAGTAGATGCCCCGCTTGGCAGGCGGTTTGGCAACCGCAGTAAGACCTTGAAGATGTTTTAAGAGGGACGCTACTGCCCATTCCTCGCCTTCCCTTTAGTATAAATATAATGACTAGTTTTATCACAATTGATTTGTTTGTTTTTTTTTTTTTGTGGGACAGTCTCATCAAGACTAAAGTCAAAGTAAAGTTATTTATCGTTAAAAAATTTCAATTATTCTGTAACATGTACACCAGGTAAACAATCAAACTTGGTATTTTTGAGGTCTATTTTTAGACCATAGACGGTCCACGGTTTACTGATAAACTTCGTTTTGTAATCATCATCTTCTTACCCCAATAATTTGGGGTCGGCGTAATATGATTTTGTCCATATTACAAAAAGACTTGGTTTTTAGTTTTACGACCGGCCACCTGCTTGACGTCAACTCTCTTTGGGAAAAATTTCGTTTTGTAATAAGCATTGCTTTAGTACGTCGTTTATTCCATTGCTAACTCCAGTATTATTTTTAGTATGCGTTTTGTATTAAGATAGTGTTTTATATTATGCAATGAACAAGTAATCACCGGTCAAGTGTATGCTCTATTTGCATATTAATTAGTGTTACGCCCGTGTCCATTACTTCGGTGAAATAGGTATCGCTTTTAAGCGGTAACATTTTGCAATTTGCAATTGGCACTTCCTACGTAATTGTAGACTGTTACGAGTAATTACTTTCAATTTAGCTATCACAATAAAGCATTATGAGTTTACTTAATTAACAGCAGTATTTCCGAACCGATACGACATCATAACCTTCAAGGAAAGAGCGCCTATATCTTTTTAAAAGGTCGACAGCGCACCTGCGATGTCTCTAGTGTTGCGGATGATCATGGGTGGCGGTGGTCACTTACCATCAGGTGAGCCGCATGCTCGTTTGCCACCTGTGTTATAAAAAATATTTAATTATTTGTTTATTCGAATAATTGAGTAGCTTGTAATAATATTTTAGCGAATGAATCTATGACGAGATAGATAAAGAATAATACTTGAGCTTGTGCACTATGGCCTTAGATTAAGGAACACATGTTTATTCTGGTTTTTTTTTTTCATTTTCTGTCACTTTATCTCCAGTCCATTTCTGTCATCATTCAATCCTGTCTATCATCCCCCTTTTATTCTTATCACTTTTTTTTTCCTAATTAAAGACTATTATTTATATACTACGTATCCAATAAACTATGTCAGTTATTTTTATTTACTAAATATTGGTGATTGCCAATAGCAGATCTTAAAATTAATTACAATTGTTCAGTAATATTTACCGTTATATAGGTGTGTAAATCTTCTTTTATAATTAGAATTATCAAAATCTTTTTTTTTATATAACTTAGAATGGCAAACAAGCTGACGGTCTACCTGATGGAAAGTGGTAACCGTCGCCTATTGACATGAGCAATACCATGGACATAACAGAGTTCGCTCATGATACCTCCCATGCGTTGCCATTCCTGAGGACTCAGGTATATCCCAGCTTTCAAACCGAAACACAACCATGCAAACACAGCTGCTTCACGGTTGACACACGAATGGGACAGATGTATCCAAGCAATCGACTTTTGTACAAATTATCCCTCTGGTAAAATCTTTATAATATTGGAAGAGACAGGATTAATTTTGGATTAATTTGTATATTATATCTGGTGAATTTAGTGTTATATAGGCATAAATATTAGGTACATTGTTTTGACGTAAGGTAAGCTGAATTTTACCCATGCGAGGTCGAAGTTCAACTACTCTTGCGATACCTACTTTCTCTGACATGACATCAAGCGTTAATGTCTTCGATTCTTCTGTACTACATTATGCGAATAGATAAGTTATCAATTCTAAAAATGCTTGATTTGGATTTTATTGCCGATTCAGCGTGTAACTAATTTACAGGAAAAATATTCAATGCACAGTCTTTTTAATCATTATGATTTTAATATTACGTATTTTTTGTAATTGTAAAGAAACACAAAAAGTGGTCCTTCGAGCCGGTTTTTGTTAGAAATGACTTGATCGTCTTTGATTGAATTC